CCTCTTCGCATATATATATGTGTATATGTAGAAATATAAACGTATAAAGGGTATTATAATAATGTATTACTAGGGAAATCACACTGCCTGTGCAAACAGTCTGCCCCGCGAACACACACACACAGCAGCAGTCAGTTGGTAGAAATAGCATTTTTTGTAAATGTATTTAAAAAAACTTAACAATATGTTTTAATTTTTATTTCACATATATTTCAAGCATACCTTTAACTACAATTCTGCGTAGTTTCATTGTAATAGGCATGTGGGAAATATGTTAATTATTGAATTAGAATATTGTCTTTTCAGCCATGTGTGACATGGCCCGCTGATCGCCCATTGACTCGCGCTGCTATTCTGCGTGGTGAAAAAAATGCACCTCAATGTATAAAACTCCCCTACAAAAATGCAATATCCTCATGTGTTTCACTCATTGAATTACTTTGTTATTTACACTCAAGGTAGCCACAACTGTACTGGGGTCACTTAAGTTTCTTTCACTCTGAAATTCAGTCCCTGTGGAATGTTATGGCCAAGAGGGTTACCATCATGCCCAAAGATTGAATGGTATCTCGGAAAATCGTCATAAATCCTCAAATCTGACATCTTTGAAAAAGGAAGATATACTGTGATGTAGCTGAAAGTCTACAAATTCTTATCATATGATCGGTTTTTCTGAATTATTTGTGAAACACATGAGGAAATAGCTGTGACGGTGATCCAAGTAATTTCTATCGCCATATTGTATTGGCATTGCAAAAATATTAGGAATTTAAGGTCAATATTGGTGTAAATATGATCCATGAATATATGATTTAAAAAATGCCCCAAAAATGAACAGTTTGACTTTCCTAAGTTGCATAATGAGTGCGCGAATATATAATTAGCTGAAATGACCTAATTTGCATATTTGATGAATATTCATGATTTTATTTTATTACAAATGAAATATATTTCCATACCTGTCTGGAATACATAGGTTTCACTGATGTATCATGTTCGGTTTTGATTTGATTACATATGCGCATATTAATTAGGCGGACTTAGTTATTTTCACAACTTTTATATATCTGCAGATTCGCAAAAATGGCAAAAATTACTCATTTTGTTGGCTTCTGTTTTCAAAACGGTAATAGATATATGAATTTTCTTTTTTTTGTATTTTTTACCACAAAGATGATATTTTAGTGTCTGATAATTTAATTTATTATTTGTGTCCAAGAAAGGGATGAATTAAGTTGTCAACTTTGTCGAATTATGCAATTTTTGACAATTTGACCATTTCTGGCAGGTTTTTTGGTAATTTTGCGATATCCAAAAAATGGTATATGAAAATCACAACGCATTGACCGATTTCAATTCTGTTTTTTGTTTTTTGAAGCTTTCATGAAGCTTGATCATTTGCAACCATCAAATAACATGTGTTTGTTGTAATTATTTTTGGTGTGCTATACCTAGTATTACACACTGCTGTAGGATACCTCATGGGAAGGTTGTGTTTTAAGAATATGATTTGCATTATTTGAATTGGCCATTGTATCTTGCAGAGCACCAATCGGTACATTGGTTGAAGTTTGGTTTCCGGTGGGGCCCGATGATTGCAGACATTCCGTCCTGTCATTTGTTTTATAACCTTATTCATGACACATGCTCCGCCGACGATTGCTCCGCCGACATTTACTCCGCAGAGGCGACAATTGCTCCGCGACATGTGCTCCGACGTCAAATGCTCCACCGACACTTGCTCCGCCGACATTTGCTCCGCCGACAATTGCTCCGCCGCCAATTGCTCCGCATGAAGCGATAAATGCTTCCGTGACATTTGCTCCGCCGACAGTAAGTTGCTCCGACATTTGCTCCGCTGACAATCGCTCCTTCGAAATTTGCTCCGCACGAAGCGACACTAGCTTGCTCCGGCGACATTTGATCCGAGGACATTTGCTTCGACGACATTTGCTCCGCATGAAGCGACACTTGCTCCGGTGACATTTGCTCCGACGACATTTGCTCCGCCCAAAAAGTGTCCCATAAAATACAAATGCTACTAGTACTACGACAAATGCTTTGCCGACAATGTTTTTTTTCACGGGTTATTTTCGTGTTTTTTTTCCCTTCATTTTCTGAATGCATTTCATGAAATAATGTAGATGAAATGAAATGAATGAATGTCACTGATGTGGGAGGAAAAAGGAGTTACCAAAATTAATTTTGAATATACTGAAATAACTTTCCATCTATCACTGTACGTCCCATATAATGTACACTAAACACTCTTTACATATCATGGGAAGTTTTATAAAAAAAAAGTAGAGCAGCAAGCCACATTCCCCAATACGCGCATACCTCCTAGTTAATTTCAAACAGCTCACCAATATGCAAGACCTGAAATGACCTCAATGCAAGCAAGCACATGCATCTTACTAGGTAAACCATCTGCAAGTAAAGCATTATACAATGCACTAGGTCATCATGGAAGTTCTAGAAAACAACAGGGAAGGGATCAAAATAAGCTTTGAAGGGCACTAAAGAAGAGAACCCATTCAGACGGGAAAATTAGAGGGCAGCCTTTTTGCTTATTCCCATTTATACAAATCATTTTGTTGCAGTTCGATGTTAGTTCTTCAGGTTAAACCAATTGCTCTTCTTCCGGTGGCTCCGTGAGTCCCTTAAAGTCAGTGAAAACACAGTACTCGAATGAGACGGGGTGTTTTACACACTAACATATATATTTATATATAAAGCTACATACACTTAACTGAAGGAAAGAAACCTATAGAAAACGGACTGGATATTATTGAAAATACTATTCTAAACAAGAATGTACTACATGTACTACATTACGTTACAAATTCACGAAAGAAATAGAAATCGAGAGGGGGAGAATAGAAGAAGTGATGAAAATGAAAGAAGACTAATAGCATGAGAGGAAAGAAAAGAGCAAAAAAGACAAGAAAAGGGTGTAAAAAGGAAAAGGAGGAGCAAGAGAGAGAGAGAGAGAAAGCCTTGAGCTTCCGATCAGCTAATGAGTAATACATGAAACAGATTTTGAGCGGAATAATTATCTTTCGCCGGAGAACTTGCATAAGGAGCTATAACTTGATTTTTTTTTAAAATCAAACATTATGGGGAATAGCAAAAAACGGCTGAGCATTTATTGATCTAATTGCCAGAGGAGCATTCATGTCTTCCACGAGGCCGCACTTTTAGATCAGAGAGCAATTTTATTGTCGGCGGAGCATTGTCTTTTACGGGGTACTTTTGGGGAGGAGCAACAATTCGTAGTAGCTTTTGTATTTTACAGGGCACTTTTTGAACGGAGCAAATGTCGGCGGAGCAATTGTTGGCAGAGCAAATGTCAACGGCGCAAGTGTCGTTACAGGCGGAGCAAATGTCGGCGGAGCAATTGTCGGCGGAGCAACTGTCGGCGGAGCAACTGTCGTTCGAGGAGCATTTTTCATCGGAGCAATTGTCGCATTTAGCGGAGCAATTGTCGGCATTGCAATCGTCGGCGGATCAAATGTCGGCGGAGCAACTGTCGGCAGAGCATTTGTCGGTGGAGGAAATGTCGGCGGAGCAGCAAATGTCGGCGGAGCAATTGTCGTGTTTTGCGGAGTAAATGTCGGCGGAGCATGTGTCGGGTTACCGTAAAAACATCTGTTCGCCTGTTCAATGCAGGGAGCTTTTTGCCTTCTTTTTATGCAAGGGGGGGGGGGGGATATGTTTAACCTGTAGTCGCTGGTCCAGGTAAGAAAGTAATACTCCCCCCCCCCCCCCGCTCGCGTTATTTTTTTCTGCGGCACAGATTGGGGCTTTTTTTTTAAAGGGGTCTTGATTTAACCCTAACCCTAACCCTAAACTTTCCCATAGGCTCAACACGCACCTAACCCTAATCTGTGCCGTCTAAAAAAAATAACGCCCCCCGCTCCGTGAACGGAGGGATACCATGCGTGTTACCAAAAATGTCCGGTAAAGGGGTACTTTTCACGCACCAAAGTCCGGCTCGTAGTACACAAAAATCAGGCCCGTATTGACTTTACACACCGAAATTAAGTGGTGTTTTCAAAAGGAGGGAACATGCATATGCGTACCCTAAATAACATTGAGTGGGGGTGGGGGGTAATACTGTTCGCTTGTTCAATGTACGGAAAAGTGTTGCCTTTTTTATGGCCAGGAGGGGTTGTACAAAAGTCTCATCTGTTGGTGGCCTCTATGCAGATACTTGTATAAATTGATCGAAGAATTCGAAAGTAAAAATACATGGGTCCTTCCCAGGGGTGGAATGTAGCAGTGTACATAAAGGGAAAGTATGACGAAGGTTTATCGTTTTATGTTCACTTAGGAAAGCTCGTGTTGTTTTGATATATCAAGAAAACATCCTCTATTACATCTCAAGTAACCGCAAAAACCGAATTCTGTTTCCTTTGTTTCTGTTAATGTAATGACAATTTATTAAATTTAAACCACCTAGAAATTGTCATTAATTCACAGTTTAACCGCGTTATGGGCGTATCCAAGTTTTCATGGGAATAAGAAATACTCGTATCATCAGCAAAGACGATAAAATTAACGAGTGAATATATTTCAATAATATCATTTATATAAATAATAAATAACAATGGACCCAATATAGATGATGAACGACGGTGAAGATGGTGATGGTGATGATGATGATGATGATACTATACTACTATATTCATTCCTGTCTATAAAGACTGCTCAAAGGAAACGCAAAAAGCAGTCTATATAGACAGGTGGTCTTCACAGACAGGTTGTACCAAGCGACCATCTTATACACTTATGACAGAATTTTTACTTATGACAGAATACATTTACATACACATAATTATGTCTTCATCAATTACCCATAAATGCTTTTTTAAACGTCTTTAAAGAAAAGAAAGGAATAAAATGCATTAATTATTTAAAAATAATTGTTGTATTGTTTTGGTTGGTTAGATTTTAAGTTAGTATGAAAGATTGAAGGTAACAAAGATGATGCATGTATGATTTGTTCCCCATATTTTTTCTTCATTTTTTCTCTTTATTTACTTCAGAAAAAGGATGATATGCTTGTGAATTAACTGGTTGCTACAAATGTGATTGTGTTTTTGCTTTTGTTTTGCTTCATAATGTGAGAGTTAGTTAAGCTACATCAACGTATTACCCACGCTACGGCGGAACTAATCATGGGAATCAGATGTGGGGAGAAGTGGAATTCAATATTCTCCTTAAAATCGGCAAAGATTTCCTGGCAGTTGAAACGGTAGTTGAGATCAAAGTCCCTACAGAAGAGGAGGCCCTCCGGTCTCTCATTCGAAGCCTCTGGTGTAAGGGCAGACGTCCGTTCTAATAATAACGATAATAAATGTTTTTCATCTAAAAGGGTTGACATCCGATCTAATAATTACAATAACTGGTTTCTTACATTTTTTGTTGCCATTCCAAATGTAATGAACTGATTAAAGTTCTTACTAGTATATCAACTCAATAACCTATAAAATTTGGCACATAAAGCGATTAAAAATCGGGAATCTTGACAGGAAATTTGTTTATGATTGATCCAAATAGAGTGGAATATGGATTTCTAAGAGGTGGTCTAGAAAGACAAAAGCAAATTTCACATATTAAAATTTGCATTGACCTATTTGTTACCCTTGTTGGTACTCTTGTTGGGGAGAAATCTGAAGTCCCTATGCTTGGTAAACTATTTGAATCAAATTTGTTCTGCACTAGCAAGAGTCTTGCCTGGTCATCATAATCATATGTCATAAGTATAACTTTTAGATCATCTGTTTGGAGTAATTAAGGAGGGCATTAACTCATAATTACATGTCATGTGTATAATTTTGAAATCATTTTTTTCGGAGCCAGGAGGGCATTAACTCATATATTGTAACACAAACTTAACGTCATTGTGGCTCTCAACAGTTAAAATACTCCTAGCTCTGCTGGGTCCCTGAATCGCCCTCACTGACCTGTCATCTGTGTTTGGAGCTCCTCTACTGACTGCTTGATATTAGCTGAACATCTTGCTGCTAGGTTCTGACCAAGACCTGCTTCCACATGCTTCAGAAGCTCCTAAAAAAAACGAAATTGTAACGATGAATAATGATGATAACAATAATATGTCCATTTATATAGCGCAGCAACTAATATGAATATACTCTACTTCCATTAATACAGGGTATCACAGTAATACCCTGGCTGTAGCTGAGCCGCCATGATTAGGCGCTAAAGCAATCAACGAATTTCTTCCTACCGTGTACCCAATTACTTTCGGGTGGAGGGTGGAAAATGTAGATAAAGTCTTGCCAACGGACATCAGTACCGGGGCAAGACTTGGAACTACGAACCGTGTGGTCCACAGTCCGGTCACGTATCCACTAGACCAAGAAACCTCTACATAAGTTATATAATAAATAGATTACTTGGCACTTCGTAGCATTAAATCGCATTTTGATAATACATGAAACTCTCACATACCGTAAATTGCTCATAATGTAACAAAATGTAAGAACTTATGCGCTCATTTCATATGCGAAACAAACGCATTTCCATGGCTCTTGTGTATACTGTCAAGAGAATCATCATTTGAATCATCATTATTTAACGACAGTTGAATTTGCATTTCTGCACCACCCCAGAGCCTCCAGGCATGGAGGTGGTGTCGGGCTCTTGTACAGGGACAATCTCTCTGTACATATTAACCAATTAGGCAACTATACAAGTTTTGAATCTATGTCAGTCGTGGTCTCCAATGGCACGACTAGTCTTGAGATCTTAGTCATGTACAGACCACCAGGTTATCAATCTTTTACATTGTTCATTAATGAATTCTCAGATCTGTTGGATGAGAAATTGTATAAATTATCTCCTCTGGTCATCACAGGAGATCTTAATATACATTTAGACAATCTCTCATCCCAACACACCCAAAGGTTCAATGATCTTTTCGACGGGCATGGACTCTGCCAGTTGGTGACTACGCCTACGCACGACCATGGCCATATTCTTGATGTCATTCTGGTCATGAACTCCGATAGACTGTTGTACTCTCGCCTACGAGTCATACCCGGTATCTCTGATCACTCTGCTGTTACCTGTTTGCTCCGTTTCGACAAGCCCCAGCGGAAAAATGCAACTTTCTCCTCTCGTAATATCAAGGGCATCAACAGGACTGATTTCGCCAACGATGTTACTAACAGTAGCATCATGTCTTCAGCAACAGAGAGCGTCGATGCTGCCGTTATCCGCTACAACTCAGAACTCTGCAGGTTACTGAACTCCCATGCTCCAGCCAGGACTCGGAAAGTAACAGCTCATCAAGACAGTCCTTGGTTTAACCATGACATCACCGAAGCGAAGAAAGAGCGGCGGAGACTTGAAAGGAAATGGCGGGACAATGGGAAGCTCCAGATTGACCGAGAGATGTTTTGTGCTCAGAGAGACCGGGTGAGCTACCTTGTCTCCAAGGCGAAACGTTCATACCACACCAGACTCATCGAGGATTGCGGCGATGATCACAAGAAACTCTACAATGTCGCCAATCGACTCTTGAACCGCAAACAGTCTTCTCCATTGCCGTCATAATGTTGATGGCAATTCCATGGCTGAAACGTTTATTCAGTTCTTCTGTTTAAAAGTTTAAAAAAATCCGAGACAGTCTTAATCCAAATGTTATACCACTCAAACCTGTCACCTCCTCCACACTAAGGACCTTTCAACATATCACCGCAGATGAAATTCTTTCCCTTCTTCGTAAATTGCCCCCTAAATCTTGTCCAGTAGATCCAGTTCCTACCATTATTTTAAAAGATTGCGCTCCGATATTTGCCCCGATTATTTCTCACATTGTTAATCTTAGTATGAATCAAGCCACTGTACCCTCAGTCTTAAAAACAGCACTTATACGCCCTTTGTTGAAAAAACCCTCTTTGGACCATGAATCCCTGAAAAATTACCGTCCTGTGTGTATCTGCCATTTTTGTTCAAAATTCTAGAGAGAGTCGTGTTCTCCAGACTCTCAGATTATTTGCTGGAACACAATTTATTCGACCCTTTACAGTCAGCTTACCGCCCTCATCATAGTGTTGAGACCCTTCTCATCAATGTTTCAAGCTCAATCTTACGAGAAATGGACTCCGGATCTGTCACTGCCATGGTCCTTTTAGATCTGTCCTCAGCCTTCGACACCGTAGACCACAAAATACTTGTAAATACTCTCACAAGTCTGGGTATCCAGGACCAGGCTCTCGAATGGTTTGAATCCTATCTTTCATGCCATTCACAGTCTGTCCTTTTAAATGGTTTCACATCCTCCCCCAGGCCACTTGGCTGTGGAGTACCCCAAGGCTCTGTGGGCGGGCCCACCTTATTTTCAATATATCTAACTGGTCTCAGAAATGTTTTTCAACGTCACTCTGTTCAATATCATTTATATGCAGATGACATACAAGTGTTTGTTTCTTTTCCGCCGCATCAAATTTAAGCTTCCCAAACCTTGCAAAATTTGGAAAATTGCATCGCTGATATTGACGCCTGGATGAAGTCACATTCTCTGCTATTAAATCATAGTAAATGCGAATTCATTCTTTTCGGCTCAAAACCTCAGTTGAATAAATTAAATATAGACTCAATTTCTATATCCGGTAACACCATTCCCTTATCAAATTCATGTCGCGATCTTGGCGTCATTCTTGATTCTCAAATGTCTATGTCCAAACTAATCACAAGCATTTCTAGATCAGTTCGCTATCAATTGCGCAATATTGGCTTCATACGGAAATATCTGACTCGTTCGGCAACAGAAAAACTTGTTCACTCACTTATTTCTTCACGTTTGGATTTCGGCAACAGTTTACTCTATAATTTACCAAATTCACAAATTGCACAGTTACAAAAACTACAAAATGCAGCTGCACGCATCATTTCTCTGTCAAGCAAACATAGTCACATTACTCCTATCTTACAAAATCTCCATTGGTTGCCTGTAAAAGAACGTATAATTTTCAAAATCCTTCTTTTAGTTCATCAAATCATGAACAAAACAGCTCCTGAATACAACCAGTCTTTAGTTCACCTCTACCAACCCACACGTACCCTCCGATCTTCCAACTCTGGTCTTCTACACATACCGCTTTCAAAGAAATCTTGGGGGGAACGAGCTTTTGCTCATGCCGGACCAGCCCTGTGGAATTCACTTCCACAGGAGCTGAAGAACTCCGACTCTTCAACATCTTTTAAGAGCAACCTTAAATCCCATTTGTTTAATTTCGCGTTTTGAAGACAGACATTCATTCATTCATTCATTCTTTCATTTTTGCATTTTCTTTCTTATGTAAATGTACCGATTCTTTGTCATGACGTAATGTGTTCCTAATATTTTGAAGCGCCTTGAGCATTTAATTAAAATGGATAATGGCGCTATATAAATCTCATGTATTATTATTATTACAGTCTTTAATAATATAATAATAATTATTGTTTTACATAGTATTATATTTTTGGTCTTGAGAACTCCTAGTCTCGTCTCAAGACTTACACAATATCAACACACATAGTGCATAATGAACTACACATTATCTATGCGCTGTAACCAAAAAAAAATGTAATGCTTGAGAAATACTTAAACCGCAAATATCCATGAAAAAAGAAGATGATGTACAACAACGGGATAATAGCATTAATCATTTCATTTTCTAAAGAAAATTAATTCCTTTAGGCTTCACAATTATTAGTCTTTCTCTTCTACAGGTAACCTACCTCCTTGTAGGCCATCAATGATTCAGGATAGAAAGGTTTGTCAAACTGATCCACCAGCAGGGATAATCTCCTGATCTCATCTGTCATGGTAGCCGATACCTACAAACCAAAACACCGTAAATCAATGAAAGATGTAAAGATTATGGAGGGGACATTTTTTATTTTTAGGCTGAAGTCAAACACCACAACGAGCCATGTGCCTTAATTATTGTAAATTAAAAGCATTAGCAACTTCAGATTAATTAGAATCAATTAATACAGTTCATCACAATGGGTGTGTCATGAGATAATCTGATCTCATCCATCTTGGTAGCTGATACATAAAAACCAAAACAGTGAAACCACAATACATAATCTCGTGATTTTCTTATACAGTTTCCACACAACTGCGCCAGGAGTATCATTTTTGACAGACACGGCGCATTATAAATGTTCATTATCATTATTATTATTATTATTATTATTATTATTAAAAAAATCATGAAGCCAGAAATCCTATGGTCAAAGTTAACCTTATAAGCTGGTAAAACTCACATTTCGGCGGCTTTCGCTCCACAGTCAATATGCTACACTAAGTCCATTCCTGAATTAACCCTAAAACCAAACCTCACTTAGGACCCAATTGGAACCCCAACCCTGACGAAAAAAGCCCAGAGCGACTGTCGCTGGAGCAAATGTCGGGTGACCCCCACTGGTTATGACTATGATCAGCTTAATTTTTGATCTGATTGTTCAGAGATGTCTTTAATCCTCTCTTTCCTCTTGATTGCAAACCTCACCCTAAACCTAACCCTTTATCTATGATGAGATAAAACATGGAGTGATTGCTGCTGGAACAAAATAATATCAGATCAACCTTTGACTGGTAAGACAGGTATGACTCTGTGCTCATTTGCAGTCCTTATCCTCACCCTAAACATTTGATAAAATATGGTTTGGAGCGATTGGTGCTGGACCCAATGTCAGCTTATCCCTCGTTCGTTCGTGTCTCCTTAGATCAATATTAATGTAATCTTGATCTTCGGAGTAGTTGCCCCGGGGTGCGAGATAGGACTCTTGTAGCGTGCCCCCATTTAAAACAATTATACAATAACAGTTAACATTACATTTAATTAATAGTATGAAACTATTAAAATTACTCTCATGTTACGGAAAAAAAAATATACATATATATTATGAATCAGTTGATTTGGTCGATCCAGTTCGTTGGCACAAACACGGCACTACTGGACAGAGATCCTAATAATTACAGATACAGAGCTTATCCCTAAAAGAGTATGATAGTGGTAGGCTCACCTTTGATTCCGATTGTTCAGAAACATCTTTAATCCTCTCTTTGCTCTCTAAGCTCAGTATCTTCATCTGGTCCTTCAGGTAGTCTAACCTATCGTTCTGATCCTTGCGCTTCTCGATGCAGGCCGCTCTGAATCAACAAAGGAAAAGACATAATGGACAGAATGCCTGAATTCCCAAAAGACCTTAATTCATTGTTAAAACATACCTACTATATCGTATGCAGAGCCAACGGCAGAGACACGTCCCCCTCAATTTTTTTTAGGAGGGATGTTTAGCACCAAACGACTAAAGACTGCAACACACTTGTAGGCTCTGGAGGGCCAAGAGTGTAGCGTTAAGAATAAAACAAATGCACAAATCTTCTCGCTCGCCCGCTACGCACTCTCCCATAATATCCTTCAAAATTGACAAGATTATTGTAGAAAATCTGCATTCCGTTAGTATCACGTAAGCACAGTTTACATTGAATGTTTGCAAGACTATAAAATAGATCAGTGGTACAAATGAATATTCTGCTTGTTATTTTAGTCCCTTCGTGCCTACTTGTTGAAATTTACCTAATAAATATTTACCACCCTTCGGACTGCACACGAAATACCGGCAAAGTAAAGTGAAGTGTGAAAAAAGTATATTGCTTGTTTTTTATACTATAGTTTTGCTAAAGAATGTAATTAATACAACAAAAAATCAAAAACTTGTGAAGTTGTGATGGGGTAGCATATATATAGATCTATTCAGTGTGAGTAAAAAAAGTTTACACCTAGAAAATTGCTAATTACTTTAAAAATCATCTATGAACAGTAAATTATTATATATCTTATAAAAAAAATGTTTTATCCCAAATTATTTGGAATCATTTTTGTGTGGTATGTGTTCACGCTTGGATGAACAGGAGGCGTTGTTTGCGAAAGTGCAAAAATCGACTTGCGCCAAAGTTGCTTATGTGATGTTTGAATAAAACAATTTGGATTTGGGTATTAATTCGATCTTTGCAGATCCATATAATATCCCTAACAAAATTAATCATGAGACACCTTTAAAATATCGAATAGGGTAGGTGCAGGGAATAAGAGACCGCCAAGCTTGAACCCATTACTATGTGTCCGTGTAGGCTCCAATATTGATTTGGCACTATTTGTGGCTTTTAACAACACTACTGCATATATCGAATTCATTTCGAAGACTACGATGTGCTCTTTTTCCGAGAAAATTGGCAAAATTGAAGAAGGTAACCAATTTTGATCGTAAAATTTTGATCTGATATAAAAACCCAATTTTCACTGAATGTTGTGGTGTATGCATATATTTAGAAGTGGCTCTTAAAAAGTAGTTTTATAATGAAGTTTATGAAGTGTGCCAACCATCACAGAAAACTTATGACCATTGTATGTTGTGAATGGGTGTTGCACAGCACATAATGAATGGTGTCCGATCAGAAATGTGTGCAGGTAATGGGGAACACCAGGTCCAAGATTTATTATTATTATTCATTTATTGGTATAAAATGATCGACCAGCAGCACAAGGCTGAAAGGGTCAATTTACAAAGGTACAGTGATGTAAATTATATACATGTACAATAGTATTACGAAACATAGTAAATAAATCTGTAACATAATGACAACACAGCAGAATTACATTGTGTTCGTTTGTGTACATTATGTGAAAGGATGTACTAGCAAAAGATATACAAGAGCAGGGGAAGGTATATGGCTCAAGAAAGTGAGGGTGATAAAGCGAATGGAGTAGAGAGAGAGGACGGGAGAAAAGGGGACTAGGTACAAAGAGAGAAAGTAAGAGAGAAATAGAGATAGAGAGAGAAAGAGAGCAGGGAATGGAATGATCATAATTAAATAAATATATTATTCCTAATTACATGTAATACATTAATGAAAATGAAGAGAGTCAGATTTCGGCAAGACAACGATAACAATCTTACAAGTACATGTTAAAAGAGAGAAAAGGGAAGGTTAAAAGAAAAAAAAGGAGATAAGTTTGAAGAGAGAGAAAGAGGAAGAGAAAGAGATGGGGGTCGTTTGTTTTACATTGTTTTAAAATCATTTCAAAATTACAGTAAGTTCATTGGCTGCATATATCTCTTTCAAAAAGTGTTTGAACTAACCATAACAATCCCATTTTAATTCAAGTCGTATTTAAAATGTCTTGATTTGTAACTTTCCCTTATTACCTGCACATGTAGGTAACGAGAGACCTTTGTGCTGACGTCATTAATCATTGTTATCTTATTAATCAGTTTCATGCCCACAATTTTGTTACCAAATAAAGAGAAGAAGTTACTGAAGAGAATTCAAAACTGTCTGTATGTGTAACATTTTTCATGTTTATGTAAATTATGTAAATGTGCTAAAGGGTCTCCAATTCCCTGCACCTACCCTATCAAATATCAATGAACATTTGTGCGTGTGTTTGTGTGCGTGCGTGACTTTGCTTCTGCAAAAAGCATATTGAATGCATTTAATTTGATACATTCAATTCATTCTCTCACTCCGCTAATCCCAACATAATACATGCTGTAGGGATCACTTTGGCGCAAGTCGATTTCTGCACTTTCGCAAACAATGCCTCCTGTTCATCCATGCGTGAACACATACCACACAAAACTGATACCAAATGATTTGGGATAAAAGACACTTTCATAAGATGTATAATAATTTACTGTTCATAGATGATTTTTAAAATAATTACCAGTTTCCTAGGTATAAACTTTTTTTGACTCACATGGTATAATAAGACTTATTATATAGCTCTAAAGGGATTTTCCACTTCCGTTACATTCGCATTCTCTCATTAGCGTACTGATGGGGGGGGGGAGGGGGTAGGGGGGCAGTTGCCTCCTAAATCAAATGCAAACGTGTTTTTTTCTTCTAATTTGATAACAGTGATTTACAATGTTGCCGAAATGGCATGATTTTTCCCTGAGCTCCCGGGGCTCTGCCCCTGGACCCCACCAATGGCCGTAAGGCGGGTCCCTGTTTGCTCATCCGACAGTTTTAAAATGCCTAAATCCTCTGAGCTTCTGGGCGCTCCGGCCCTTGGACCTCGCTCCAATTAGTGACCTGCCAGTGTCACAAATATGCTAGTGTGACCGTAATTAAATGCCTAAAACCCAGGAGCTTTCAGGGGCTCTGCCCCCTGGACCCCAAAAGGGGCCCTAAGGCGGGCCCCTTAATGCTCATCTGACTGTTATTAAATGCCTAAAACCCCAAAGTTTCATGTGGCTCTGCCCCTTGACCCCCGCCGGGGCTTTCCCCCTGAACCCCACGAATATTTACGTTCCACTTGTTCTGCTCACTCTGCTCTACCTGATCGTAAATACTTTAGCCCCCCTAGACGTTCCGTGGGCCTGCATGTAACATGTAAGAGTGGTGGTTATGCGGAATTTGTTTCTGCCCCCCAAATATTTTTGCTCATTACGCCACTTGGCCCTCCCGTTCACTATGCTCCCTCGTCCCTCGCATTTCGCCCCCCCCCCCCCCCGGTCATGAAAATAACTCGCCGCCCCTGGCCAGAGGGGCATGAATTCTGTGCTAAAGTGTTTCAGTTAAGGACCTTCTGGCACAAACAGACCATCTAGTCAGTCCAGTGATTATGGACCACCCAATGTCATTCTCTTTTTCCTGTACAACTCAAAATATTCTGTAAATAAATTGAATACAAATACTTTTCACTGTCATTTTCATTTCGTAACAAACCTCCCGTATATCAGTGACCCAAGTTAAGACAGATTTCACTTTACAGGCCTCTCAATGCAGGCATCGCAGAGCAACTGTCATCGGACCAATTGTCGGAGCACCGAATGGTGATTGGCCAGATGGGTGATAGGACTTTACCCTCAGGCTTGAGTTCATCAAAGGTATAAGCGTTAGGATATAGGTTTAAAATCAGGGTTGACATTAGGTTTTAGGTAAAGTTTAGGGTTAGGGTTAGGGTTAGGTATAGTGTTTTGGTCCAAGGTTGAAGTTGAGAATTTAATTCATGTACAAAACCGAACACGGTGCAATTGTCGCATGGAGGTACATCCGCCAGACATGGTACTTTGTTAACAAAAAACTGCAGTCTCATGTGATACTCCATTTCGTTAAGCTACTTCAATCTGACTTCAGTTTATTGCTAACCTCTTTTTGGTAGCTGCTTCTAAGACCTGTGATAGAATCTCCCGTGTGTAATCAACAATCTGTCTGCCCTGCTTAGCACGCAGCTCAAATGTGGTTCTCACGGCAGTCTGTGAAATACATTCCTGTACGATGCAAAAAAACAAAACAAAATTTTAGCATTAAGACTTCATAAATGTAAAAGAAAATAATTAGCCTGACAAAATAAAACAAATGAGGAGGCACGATGGCTCAGTGAAAGAGCAGCAGTTTTGTAACAAAGTGGTCCCGAGTTAAAAATCAAGTTAAATCGCTAATGCCCTATGCATAGTAAGGCATTAATCCTCATTACCAAGACCCTCGGAGAGGACTTACAGCCCGTGGTCCCCTGGATGATTACTTTCAAGTTGACAATTGCTTTCTTTGCAGTCAGGTTAAGCAAATAAAATAAACAGAAAACAGCTGTAATTCATATTTATGTAAGTGTACCCTGTACGACATATGATATTTATGCATATATCTTGGCCATGATTACAACAAATCTCTTCCTATGACTGTGACTGATGGTAATGATACCAGAAAACACCGTCATTCAATGATCATATCAAGATAAAAGGGGCATATGTCGTACATGACATATTGCACAGAATCGTCCAAATGTGACATGGTCATGTTTTGTTTGTCAATAGTTTGAAAGATGCAATAATAAAGCAGTCTGTTTTATGAGACACTTTCCACTCTGATAGGGAAGTGGAAGAACAAGAACAAGTAGAATGTTAGGTCCATAAATGTAAATATACTGTGATTTGATTTATATCCCGCATACTAAGAATCTTGCAATCTGATTGGTCTAAACGAGGTCACATGATAAATTATGGATAAGTACTATCTACCTGAGAGGTCTTTTGTAAAGTAATTTTTTGCTGCTGCCCCACTTGCCCGACTTGCGCATTGAATAAGCATAGCAAAGTAGGTTACGCGAAATGTCAATGTCAATGTCAAATGAGCGCGCATCGACTGTATTACATGTACGCATGTTGTGCTTTGTAAAATCTAGCTGAAGCTAGAATGTCTGCAAAATCAGTTGTTTTAATTATGTAAAATTCACTTTAAATAGACTTTATTGCCGATGTGGGGTATTAAACAAATATTAACCTCCTTTACTCGGGTAATGGATACAAACTATCATCGCCTCGGTGATCTCGGGGCTACCATCTTGCGGCTCGGGAAGATAGTAGCCCCGAGATCACCTCGGCGATGATAGTTTGTACCAGGGGCGTACGCAGGGGGGGGGGGTTTGGGGGTTCAAACCCCCCCCCTTTGGTATTTTTATGTATGTAAACCCCCCTAAAAAAACCTAAACCCCCCCCCCCCTTTGGTTTTTTTTTTGGTTTTTTTTTTTGTGTTATTTAAAAAAAAAAAAAAATTATACCCACGGCTAACCTAAATAAGGTGACCTTACCCCCCCCCCCCCCCTCAACGAAGAAAAATGTCAAATTTTGAAATTTCGAGACCAAAAAAAAAAAAAAAGGTGTCCGCTTACCCCCCCCCCCCCCCCCCCCCCCCCCCCCCCCCCCCCCCCCCCCCCCCCCCCCACTGAGCGACTTTTCGGCTGGCTGAGTCGTTGCGATTTTTTTTGGCCTCCAAAAAAAAAAAAAAAGTGTCCGCTTACCCCCCCCCCCCCCCCCCCAGCGACTTTTCGGCCGGCGCGATTTTCAAATTTTCGGGAGCAAAATATTTTAAAAACCCCCCCCCCCTTGAAAAAATCCTGCGTTCGCCCCTGGTTTGTACCATTACCCTCGTAGTCGATTAATATTTGCTTAATATATATTTTTTTTCTTCTTCTCCCTTGGTAAAGTACAAGCAGTGGAGGTGTCGTGATAAAGTGGGTCATTCAACTGACTTTTAATTTAAGGGTTGAGTGTTCGAATCTAATTAAGGGACTAATGTCCTTTGGCAAGACATTACTCCACTTTGCCACTCTCTATCCAGGTGTGAATGAGTACCTGGCAGTTGCTGGGGTAATAAGAATTCTAGGATACTCAAGAAGAACAGTATTAACACTGACAAGCATGGGCGTAGATCTGTAATTGATACCTATTGTTCAGGGGGAGGGGGGGGGGGAGAGTGATCTATTCATTCATCCCCCCTGAACAATAGGTTTTACGTAAGGATTGACGCCCATGCTGACAAGGCTTCCCTTGGGTATTAATCAAATAATTATAATTGTCAATGACAATCAGCAACAAACTAACCTCAAGTTTTCTTTCATAGTTCTCAAACTCCAACAACCTTGCCTGGTAACCTTCAACAATTGGATCTGGATGAAATGATAACTCATCAACTTGTCATGTTAGAAAAGATAAAATAATAAATGAATGGATGATACTTTGGCCTATAACTAACTACTGCTACTTCCACTCCTGCTTGCAATCAGTTGTGAACGTGTGCAGTGAATTAAGCACTATGATTATCCAAATACGGAGTTATGGATATTTTTGGGTTTCCTGTGTAATTTGTCTTTCTTTGTTTTCTTTTTTGATAATGCAGACCAAGGGTAAACTTGCAAGCTCCTGTCCGAAAAACACCAATACTGATAAATCAGACGTCAACGATTCGTGTAGGTATGTATGTATGCAGTATCTTGTAAGTGGTATTGTGTGTGTGTGTGTGTGTGTGTATATGTGCGTGCACGCGCGCGCGTATGTGGGTATGGTGACTGCATCGTATTTTAAATGATTTTTTTTTAAAGTGACTTGGAAACATTGTTGAAGGTTGATGAAAAAATTGCTTAATTTTTTTATAAATTCTTACATACTATATTCCTTCTACTGTACTAACCCTCTGACATGCAAAATATCTTGAAAAAAATTCTCAAACCACGAAGATGTCTATGGTTTTCTTTGAAGGAGTCGATGTATGACACCCTCTTACAGTGATTTACAGTAAATTCTCCCAACCATTTTTGAATTTTCCCAACCGTGTTTCCAAGGAAAAAAGACATAAAACAGGCTATAAAAAATCTGTTAACACCTAAATGTCTAGAAAAGAATGTAGAGCTATTTTATTGCTGTGTGACGATTTCCATTCACCTACAATGTAATTAAATTGTAATAATATAGTTGGGAGAATTAAGGAATCGATCAGATAAGTTTTTCCCAATTTGTACCATGAATAATGATCCGTTTTCACTCAAATTTTCAGATTATCTTTAATTGTACATCTATCATTCAAGTCACTACCTTTAGCACCACTATCTCTCGTCTGAACAATGTTACCAAGTCCCTTTAATGTTAAAATAGATTGTTTCTGTTTGTCTGTCGCTCCAATCTGGGGTATTCTGAGGAGGCTAGGAACAGTGTGCGGTGGAAGTGTAGTCGGGTGGTATGTGTGTGTCGTATGGTGGGGGGGGGGGGGGTAGTAGTGTGTTAGGTTGGATGGGGTTATTTGTTTTACGTTACAACTGATTTCATTTTTTGTTTTCATCAATCGTACAATCTATGTAATAAAAATGTTTTGAATTCATGTCAAGGGAAAACAACTGTATTTTATTTCTAAGATTGATTTGTATTGTTTGGAATCAATTTTTTAAAAACTATTTAAAAACAAAACAAAATTTTAATTGAAGAATATTCAGTGATGAGGTTTGAGGAATTAAAGGTGTTTTTTATTATTAGGGGGTCTTAGGGAGGGACAAGTGGAGGTTCCATGGTGATTATTCTCAAAGTGTATTGGAGTATTAAAGGGAATTTCGATTTCACGTTTTTGTTATACATGTAGAATTCTGGGTGAAAAGATATTATACGGAGAAAAATCAATGAGATGGCTGATGGAAGCTATACTTTGATTTCTGCTTCAATTTGGTAGGAGGTAGATTTATTTTCTTGTGTTACTATGATTCCAAGTTATTAAGTTACTATGCTTATTTTTCTATACTGAATGTCTTGCTTTACAAATAAAAATAAAATTACCAAAACAAAATGATTGAAGGCCTGTTTTATTATTCGTTGTCATTGTAACACATTAACAATTCATGTGTAATTTATAAATTTGATAACTTTGCAATTCATGAAATATTTTAATATTAGGCAGAACCCTCACTTAAAGGGTAATGATACATTTTTAATTAATTCTGCAACTGGTATCTTTCACATAGCCTTGAAGAAAAGTAAAAGAGAAATCCAGAACCTGAAAACTAAATAATTTCGGTGTAAATCTGGATTTCTGCTGTCCAGATTGAAATAATTTGTTGTTTTATTTAGAAATGATAAAAGCATGGGAAGAGTTAGAAGGTTGTAGGAATTTTGAAGAAAGAATAATCCAATTATTTTTAACAAAACAAATTTCTTATTAGAATGAAAATGATTGTAAGTTCAAAATATTTTTGCAGAAAATGACATGCGGTCAATATCGATTTTTCAACATATAGGGTTAAACGGAAATAAAATTGTTGATGTATGGAATATTGGGGAAGCTATTTTGAGAAGCGGAAAAACGGATAACTGTATTTTAATTGATGTAAAAAAGTATGGTATTTTAATGCAGTTTAACGGTACTGTGAAGTTGTTCAGAAGTTTATTATCGAGGAAGGTTAACGAATATTTTATAGTTCTGGGAGTGTGTACATGTTCAAAGGTTATGGCATAATATAATAGCTAAAGTTTGAGCTAAGGGAATTAATGTCTGTCGATTGTAAGAATATTCATGTAGGGTTGTCCGGTAATTTCCCACTAATAAAGATATTCAATACAATTATTTTTTAACTAAAATATTGGATATATAGATGCAGGGGAAAGTCCATGATATTGTCTTTGGGTGATTTTCAAAAAGAACGGTTGGAATTTAGGGAAGAAGAAAAGAATATTGCAGGGAGGGGAGGCAAAATAGCCTAACGTTTACAGAAGTGGGAAGAAGTGAAATTTTCATGAACTTTTAACACCTGATTATTATAGCCTCGTTTATAACTATGTATTCATTTGTTTATTATTATTATTCTGTCGTTCCAATTGTGGGTATTCTGAGGAGGCTAGGAACAGCATGTGGTATGTGTGCGGAAGTGTGGTCGAATAAATACAAAATCATAATAAATTGTAGTATGTGTATGGGGAACCTATATTGATAAGCAATATTCTTTTTTGTGGCTCTGGCCATATATTTGCTTTGTATTTTGTATGTTTTATGTCTTCTATTTTTCTTGCATATGTTTTGCTTTTATATGGTTCAATAAATTCAATTACATTCAATTCAACGATTCTCCAAGAAATCAAATGGAACGTACTTGCGTTTGGGGTGGACAGGGTCTGGAGTATCCTGGAATTAAGGGCCTCCTTGGCCGACACGAAGAATATCCGATCCTTGGCTTGGGCTTCAGTCATAACTTTGAGCTCTTCCACCAAGAATTTGATCTCTCTCTCCAAATGCTGCCTCTTAACCTGTCGTATAAAAGATAATATAAGAAATGAAAGTCGGTCCCATTCGGAAACGAGGCAATACTCTGCTTACATCCCATTCACATCAATGAGACCAACGGCAGACCAACAAAACCCAAACTAGTTATTACATTATTTTGATTTAAGATCAATGACAGATCAACAATTAATAAACAACTTTGTTTTACATCATCCTCGATGGCTAAACATCAGTTGTTTTTTTTCATTTGGTTTGTGGTAAGATTGGCTGTTTGACCGAAGTATGTGGGACTGACAAAATGTGGGAAATAAATGAGATATTAAAGCAGAACATCCTTCATATTTATCCATCTTTGACAAAGATATAAGGATCTTAGTAGCCACTTTTGCAAGCAGCTTCATCAGTTTCACCCTCCAAATATTACCTCTTTCATTAATTATTTTGAAGCGGTTTTGTTTATACCAGGCTTAATAAAGAACAAAATGCAAGGGCAAATAAGCAAAGTGCTCGCCACATATCTGTAAATAACAACACGGAGATTACAATGTAGGGACATGTATAGAGGATTATGTTATAGTGTAATTATAATCAATAGTATCATCTTCTATTTGTTCCATTACAAACCGTGTTCGTTGTTAAAGTCAACGTAAAGCAGCTGACCGACAAAAATAGAGAGCAAATTTATTTATTAACACCGTGACTTTCAACCATGCTTGTCGTAGAATGCCCCATTCCCGGGTGTGACTATACTACTCCAGACCTCAATGCTGCCAACGATGCTGCACTAATCACTAGCCACAGTGCTAACCACACCTATGGACATGCCCCCAAGGTGGAAAATTGTTCTTTGCACGCAAGTCAGATTGAGCGGATGATACAACGTATCTATATGTGATGAAACGGTGAGGCCAGGCGCGGATCCACGGGGGGGGGGGGGGGGGGGAGGGGGGCGACGGGCCCGGGCCCCTGGCTTAAAAAAAATAATAATTAAAACAAATAAAAAGTTTTATATAATTTTTGTAAACGTGATCCCCAAATCCCTACAAATGGAGGCATCCTGATCTTCGGGGCCGCCATCTTCCGCTTGTCTTGAAAAGACACGCAGGGACGGGTCATTGAAAGTAGGCAAATGACCTACGTCACGGACAGTTCCGACAGATTGTTCCTCAGCAAGGAGGCATGCATCGCCCTTGAAATCATTCCTTACGTTGGGTAAGACTCAGACGACAGACCAGATAGGTACACAAGCAGCCCTCCAGGACAGCCCAGGAGTCACTTGTAACTGCCCCAGGCGTCAGCAGCACCCACCACCTCCAACGACACTTCCAGTTGCTGCCACTGATGATTACCGCATGAAGCTACAACAACATCTCCTCGAGTACTACCAGTTGTGCACGTTCAACACATGTGAACATCAACCCTTGCCCCTCATGGACAGCCCTCCGATGACGAAACGGATGGTCGAAACCAGTAGAGCATCGCACACACGGTACCTGTCCCACTTCACTGGCAGGATGATGTGAAAGCTGGGTTGGATCATGATATGCAGTTGGGTGTGCTTGAACCAGTCCTTAATTGGCGAGCCTGTTACCTGGTGTCATCGAATGGTAGTTTGCGCAAAGAAGAATGGCACACCCGCCTGGGGAACTTGAAAGAGAAAACCCTGCGATACAGGTTCCGGATCATCCATGTGCCACGTCGTTTCGGACACCACGCTACAGACTGCATGGTGCGCCTGTGAAGCTACACTTGCCTGACGATGTTGTGTCCATTGCATGGTGACACTCCCGTCAGCTTGAAAAGTCTCCCGACCCTCATGGCTGGCCTTCGCACTCGTGCATTGCACAACCACGCCATCGAAGCATTGTGTTCTCTCATCTTCTGTGTCCTCCCTGGACTCACTTTGCCTCAAGTCAGTCACGTAGGACAGGGTTCGTACTGTTAAAGACAGTGACAACAAAAATGCATTCCCTCGTTGGCCTAGTCAAGTTTGGCATACCTGACTTCAGCCATGAACTCCCAGGACCCCTACATGAATACTTCCAGTTTCAGGTTTATGTGCATACGGTTGACGGTATCGTGCCTTACAAGGACAGGGTCGTAATTCCCCCTTCTCTCAGGGAGGAAGTGATGACCCACCTCCATGCTGCCCACCAGGGAGTCACCTCTATGACCGCCAGAGCATGCAGAGTCACCTGTCTTATGGCCAGGCATCACTCCTGCCATATCAGCCCTCCGTGCTAGTTGCATCCACTGCAATTAGATCACGCCGTCCAATCCTAGTCTACTGCCTATCCACTGACGTCCCCAGCCTATACCCATTCCAATGCATTTGTGCTGACTTCTTCCACTACAAAGGTTGCAATTACTTGGTTTTCTTTGACTGATACTCTAACTGGCCAATATTTTAGAGGTCTACCCAAGGTGCGAATGGCCTCACCACTTGTCTGCGATGCATCTTTGTCACGTTTGGCATTCCTGACCTTGACGCGTCCCACCGATCAGATAGAGGAAACTGACCCCAACCCTGCAACGACCCAGCATCTGATGCCACCGTCTACATATACCCTGCCACCTCCGCCATTGGCCAGCGTGGACCTGAGGTGCAGCTGCGCCGCGCCGCCAACCCTGCCTCGTCCAGAACGGTACATGGCTCGTCATCTTCTCGTCTTTGTCGCCTATTTGTGGATGTTGCCTTGCCATCGACCATGGAAACGCCACTACAGCCACGGAAACCCGTCCATGTAGCCCCCAGATGTCGCCTAGCTTCCCATACACTTGGCCCTGGGCAAGCCAGCGCTCCTCCCATCACCCGCCCTGCTGCATTTTCCAGACGTTTTACCCGTTGTATTGGCAAACCTGCCTGTCACTCCGACTATGACATGTGACATTGACATTCGGACAATTCGTGAATCTTATGTTTCCGATTTTTAACGATATCCCACTCTTGCATTTATCTTTTTTGTGCTCAATAGTCCTGATGACCTTACGTCAAGCTTTGGGTATAGTTACAGCATGAGTCGCGTTTATTGTTCTTACATTTCTTGCTCCTGGTATCGATGCTTGGATCATATTTTTAGTCTTCGTCGCACTGGCGGATATGAGTTCCTTGTTGCGCCAAAGACTCGGGGGAGAAAGAGGATTATGTTATATAGTAATTCTAATCAAGAGCATATCATCTTCTATTTGTTTCATTATATACCGTGTTCATTGTTAAAGTCAACGTATAGCGTCTAACCGACACAAATAGACAGCAATCTTATTTAATGTACCTGTGCTGCATACAACTTCTTTCTTTCTTTCTTAAATTTCAAAATTCTATTCATTTGCACATAAGATGATTCAATTTTGCTGCTGCAGTAATTTTATCTAGTCTGAATAGGGCCTAATAGAGATTGCTATACTCACCACTTCCATGTTCTCTGGTTCATTCGCGGAGGCATCCCATCTGTTGTTCAGAATAAAGATGTTGGGTTTGGAGAGCTTCGCACTTACTTTGAGAAAGAAGCTTGTCTCCTGCGGAAGAATTTTAAAGGAATATAATGAAAATCAGGCGCGCCGGAAAACGTTTGGAAGGGGGTGAGCCGGTGAGGGCAGAAGAAAAATCTGCATCACCACCACTCTTACACGTTACATGCAGGCCCGCGGAACTTTTAATCAAAGTGAAGTATTAACGATCAGGTAGAACGTAAATTGACGTGGGGTCCGGGGCATGAGCCCCCGGAAGCTCAGGGTTTTTAGGCATTAAATTACGGTCCGATAAGCATATTTAGATACCTGATTTGTGACACTGGCAGGTCACTAATTGGCGGGGATTCAATGGGGCAGAGCCCCTGGAAGCTCAGAGGTTTTAGGCATTTAATTGCGGTCAGATGAGCATATTTTGATACCTCATTTGTGACATTGGCAGGTCACTTGTTTTTTCTCTCTATCTTTCTTTCTTTTTCTCTGTAACATACTTTTTTTTTAATCGAGGGGGGCTCGAGCCCTGTTATGGAGGCTTCTAAATAGGCATATTTTTCGCCCGACTGTAAATTTGGGAATTTCTAATTTTCCAAAAAACGCATAAAAAGGTATGACTTACATAAAAAAAAATGAAAAAAAAATACCGGAAAATTATGTCATTTCAGCAACATTTGTAAATCACCGGTATCGAATAAGAGATACCCCCCCCCCAATCAGTATACCAACGTTCAGGGGCTCATGTCTTCTCACCCCTATAACAAAAAACACACACGCTTTCCCATTCTCTCACAATATTTCCACGATATGCGCGTATCGCTATTATAAAACCTCCATTGAAATTTAGGTGGCATACGAATTGTTTAGGAAATTTAATTCCTGTTAACTTTCCTTTTCTTTGAACGGAATTTTATATGTGATTTAATTCAGGTTTTTATTATGTTCTTTTAGGTTAAAAATACAAACCTACTTTACTCCTTTACTGCTTTTTTTTTGTTTTACAGGGGGGGGGTTCAAAAATGCGAATTTGAAATGTTTTGGCAAAGCAATGGCCTCGTAACTGTGAGGCCGCAGGATCAAATTCGTGTCGATGTGCAATATTAGTGCCCTTTTGTGGGGCATTAATCCTCATTACTGTCATTTATTACTTAAGGGCGTAGGTCCCCTAGTTGATAAGCATATTAGCATACACATGCTTTAGCAGTCGCGCAAAACAAACACTGGCAAATTATTATTCAATAAAAACTGAGAATATATACTATTATCTAGATCTATTAGGAATAAATCATTGTCAAAATAATTCCATAAATTGGGGTAAAAAATAAATATTCCAACGTTATGAGCGACAGTGTACATCTCTATACAATTTGAAGGAAATCCATCAAGAAATATGGTTTGCAGAGTGCACTCGCGTCATCCTGCAAAGTATTACCTTTGACCCTATAAAACATGGGACACTGTTGGCAGCATCATCAAAAACTATAGGTGCGTAGATTTTACCAAATAACAGTTCCATACACAATTTGAAGAAATCTGTCAAGAAATGTTGCAGTTAGAACACACATTAGAGTGTACACAATACGTCTATCAAAATATTACCTTTGACCCCATAAAAGACGGAACACATCACCAAATCTATAGGCTTGAAAATTATACCAACTTAGATACACCTTCGTTCAAAATTTGAACAAAATCCCTTGAGAAATGTGGCCTATAGAGCGCACACAATCCATCCACAAAAATGACCTTTTACCCTATAGAAAACGAAACACTGGGGGCAGCATCACCAACAAATTATGGGTGTATAGATTATACCAAGATACACCTCCATACAAATTTGGAAGAAATCCGTCACTTAAGGAATGTGGCAGTTAGAGCGCACACAAGAATATGACGCAGAGGACACGGCGGAGGCGGCAGAACAACGCTGCTGAATCCAAAGTATCTTCCGGCATACTGCCGGGGAATACAATTTAAAAAAAATTGTTGTAATGTTTTCTCAGTCATTAAATCAATACATTAAAAAACAAGCATAAACTTGAAAACATAATCTTACAGTTCTCGTAAGAGTAGACTCTGCATTTGACACCAAGACAAAGACATCAGCATCCATATAGTGATCGTCGATCCATTCATCCATATCATGTTCTACATCTATTCCAGGACTGTAAATGTTAAACATATATAGAGAGAGTTATAGAAAGAGAGAGAGAGAGAGAGAGAGAGGTAAAGAGACAGACAGACAGAAAGAAAAAATATAAAAGAAATGATATAGAGGGAGAGAGATATAGAAATAAATGAGGGGAAAGGGGAAGCGAGAGAGAGAGAGATGTGGCGAGAAAGGAAGAGGAAAGAGAGAAAGAGAGAGAGAAATGTTGTTATCAAGTGCATATATTTGAGGACAATGTGCAAGATACAGTAATACTAGTCATTCTTTAAAATGTAATGAACATTTTGAAGGGAAATGCGTTCTTTACAGTGCATTTACCCATTAAATACTCAGTGCAAAACATTATAAATAATGAGCATACATTTTTGTTATCAAAACTTAGATTTACCAGGTTAAAAGGCCCATTCTGCCTACTATACTCCGATCATCCCTCTCAAGAGCACTCTGACGAATATCAATGGGTTATATTTTGTATTCACCACCCTTTGCTATTCCATTCGGTTAGGGTTCCGAACGGAATATTTTAACAGGGGCAGAACTTTAAAAAAATCTGAGTTTATATGCATGAGAGCCTTTTTAACATAGGCGCCGGAAGTGGGGTGGCAGGGGGGGGGGCAGTTGCCCCAACCCAAAAAATGTGGGGGGGGGGAACGCATTTTTGCCCCCCTCAAAAGAAAAGCAGTAAAGGAGTAAAGATGGTTTTTATTTTTAACCCAAAAGAACATAACAATAATAAAAACCTGAATTAAATCACATATAAAATTCCATTTAAAAAAAGGAAAGTTAACGAGATGGTTTTATTTTTAACCCAAAAGAACATAACAATAATAAAAACCTGAATTAAATCACATATAAAATTCCATTCAAAGAAAAGGAAAGTTAACAGGAATTTAATTTCCTAAACATTCCGCATGCCACCTATATTTATCAATGGAGGATTTTATAATAGCGATACGCGCATATCGTGTGAGAGAATTTGAAAGCGTGTCTAATGTTCCTGAAATGACTTGATTTTCCGGTATGTTTTTCTCTATTTTTTCGAAGCCATACTTTTTTATGCGTTCGTTGGAAAATTAGAATTTCCAAATTTACAGTCGGGCGAAACATATGCTTATTAAGAAGCCTTTGTGTCATTGTCTGCAAAAAGGCTGGGCTCGGGGATTTTTTGAAAAAGTATGTTACAGAGAAAAAGAAAGAAAGGGAGAGGAAAAAAAATAAGTGACCTATCAATGTCACAAATGAAGTATCAAAAAATGCTCATCTGATCCTAATTAAATGCCTAAAACCCCAGAGCTTACGGGGGCTCCGCCCCCGGATCCCACCAAGGGCCCCAAGGCGGTCCCCTGGATGCTCGTCTGACCGTAAATAAATACCTAAAACCCCCGAGCTTCCGGGGGCACTGCCCCCCGCACCCCACAAAGGGCCCTAAGGCGGCCCCTGGATGCTTATATGACCGTAAAAAACCCCTGAGCTTCCGGGTGCTCTGCTCCCTGGACTATCCGCCAACTAGTGACCTGCCAGTGTCACAAATAAGGTATCTACATATGCTTATCTGACCGTAATTTAATGCCTAAAAACCCTGAGCTTCCGGGGAATCAGCCCCTTTACCCCCTGCCGAGCTCAGGCCCTGGACCCCACGCAAATCATATAGCTCCGTTTAGTCTCATTTGACAACGCCCCCTATCGTCAGAATCAGCAGCATAACATGTTAGCCTATGGAATTTTACAACAACAAAATCGTTAAAAATTCATTTTTTGTTTAAACGAAAAGCACATCCAACCCAACGTACGTTATTACTAGCTCTTTCATTGGAACCCTCATGTCCCATTGACTTTTGAAAGTTCACCCACCGTAATTTGATCAAAATAGGTTGCAAGCTCGCCATTGCCTATAATACACATGTGAAACAAGTCGAACTTTGGACTCAGTTTGCCAAGCGATTGTAAGGTTTAAGGTCAAGCACACGAAGGATAGGAAGCATGAATTACAATAGATCAGTTCTGATCGGTTCATTATGTCCATTTCAACCAACCCCCACCGTAATTTTTCCATCGAAGATAAGCAAACATTTTGCCGAGGTAAGCAAAAACATGAATATTCATGATCGCCATGGACTATTCGATTATTTACAGAGGGGTGCAATTATGCACCACATCAAACTCCCCTGCTTAAAGTCAAGTATTTCATTGTATTATGTAGTTTGGTAGGTTTATTTTAATAACTGTTTAATTATCAGATATCAATGATAGTTTAAAGATATGGAAAATGTTCTTGTATTTTATAGTTAGCAAAGCAATCTAACATACAAATTCACTACCAAGTGTCGTCTAATCCGCCGATTGTCGTCTGCTATATACGTCCAGCGAGCGAAAATGAGACAACCGGAGCAATGTAACGCTCTACCTGATCGTCAATACTACACTTTGAAAAACGTTCCGCGGGGCCTGCATGTAACGTGTAAGAATGGTGATGATGCAGATTTTTCTTTCCCCCCCCCCCCCCTCCAAACGTTTTTGCTCATTACGTCACTGCCCCTGGAAGGTGAGCCCCCTGGAATGCCCACCCCCCCCCCCCCCATCCAAAGCTGCTTCTGGCGCGCCTGCTTGTTAATGCCTAGGTCACATATAAACCGGGCCCCGTACGATTTTTCCTACCCGCCGGCTAATGCCTGGATTACATTTGCCCCGGGCGCCGTACGATAAATTAGTCTACGATCTTTCGTAGAGATCGTAGGAGGCTACGGGCTACGATGTTTGTGTTTACATTATCTACAAGCATCGTGCCATTTATTGTATTGGCCCTCGGGGGCAGGCCAGGGCAAATCCGTAGAGGCTGCTCGGAGATTGTACGGAAATCGTGCAATTTGAATGCAGAAGCCGTGCAGTCTCCGCAGCATCCGCACGGAAATCGTACGGAGCCCGTGCAGCTTCCGTGCAAAGATGACTGCTCAATATCACGGATACTGCACGGGCAGCGAGCAGCAACCTTGCGATAGCTGTGCAATGGCCGTGCGAATGACCCACGAGTCTACAATCTCTGTACGATTTTTGATGCCCCCATGTTCACCGAAAAATCGTACGTTTGCTGCACAATCAGTGCGAGGCCTCCGGGCGATGCCCATGCGGGGATTGTGCAATGCCACCTACGACATGTATACGGGCTACGGGCTTACGATTTTTTCAAATTTGTTTAACATCTCGCGAAACAAAATCGTAAAGGCTGCGGAGTCCGTGAATCCATACGAAAATCTCACGGCCGCCTCCTGCCTCCGCACAGAGGCCGCACGGAAAAGGGCATACGGGCAGGATACGGGCTCCGTAGATTAATCGCAGGCCAAATGTAATCCAGGCATTATAAACCATGAATTTGGAGACCGTACGGGAACCTTCCGGTTTTCATTTCTACGGCATGTGTGGTCACATATTCTGCGGCGCCCGGGAGGTGCTCGGTGAAAATTGGTCAAGTGAAAATGCAAGGCGCCCGTAATGGTGCCGACCGGTAAGCTTACGGGTTCTGTCTGATGAACACGTGCATCCTATGGCTCCAGGGGCCAGGCCGGGGTGTGTAATTTTTTGTCCACTTGAGTTTCGGACCCCATTTCAATAAACGCGATGGCCAAGAGTCTACGCGGCCGGACACCGGCCGGAAATTCCCCATTTCTACGGCATGTGTGGTCACATATTCTGCGGCGCCCGGGAGGTGCCCGGTGACAATTGGTCGAGTGAAATGCGAGTCGCCCGTAAGGTTGCCGGCTTGGTGCCTGCCGGTGAGCTTACGGGCTCCATCCGATGAGCAGGTGCACCCATGGCTCCCGGAAGTGCCCTGCCGGGTACCGTGCTGTGCACTGAACTATGTGTCCTCTGACATCCGCACCTCCTGTATTTAAAGCTGCTTGTACATTTTGAGATGCCGCCGTGAGGGGCCCGCACGGGCAATATTCAGTTCACATGGGGCCCCTAGACGGCAGACGCCCGGTGTTGTGCATATCACCTGGGGCCCGCGAGGAAGCCGTAGGGTACACATACGGAACCTTTGAGCACCGCAAGACGCCCGTAAAGATTTTTCATGAGAAATGACCCCTAAACATCGTGAGGGGCCCGTCGGGCCATCGTCCGGAGCCCGCGCGGGACCCGTAAGGTTCCCTACGGCACGTTACGGGCTTTCTACGGCCTAACGGTCAGGTAAAAATGCCGGGAGAATTGGGAGCAGCCAACTCAGCACCACGGCACCCGTACGACTTAAAAAAAACGTCCTGGCGCCCGTAGGAACTTTACGGCCGCCCAAAAAAAAATCACAAAATGTCTGTTTTTACTCGCCGTACGGGCCCCGGAGTGTATATGTGAAAGCCCCATTAGAAAAGTTCGTTCGCCTCCTTGCACTGTTTGCATTCTCAAATTAGTTACATTATTCTCAGTTGCCTGTTGTTGGGTCAAGCTGGTTTTCATGGTTGTAAACGGGCAGGGAAGCTTACGTATTTCTAAAACATGTGGAGTTCATTGTTAGGTTTTATACAACACCTAAGTGGATCCTTGTCATTTGATTGGAGGATATGTGGTTATATTCGCCGTGCATTTTTGGTTATATGCAGACTGCGTACCTCTCTGCCGTGCGCGTATCCCTGCGTGTATCTGACGCGAAGGCAATCTGAATGTAATCGAGAAGGCTTGACTCCAACTTTAATTTATCTTTAATATAAGGAGTATAATTTGTTGATTAACGTTCTTTTAGATCTTCTTCGATGTTGTATAAAACAAATAATGAATGTTTTTCATTCGTTCAATAGTACGAATATTTTCATGCGTTTAAAGATTAACGAACCCATAACCATTCATTATTTGTATACTATTTAATGGAATAATTTATGGAGTAAACATATTTATATATATAATTTTTTTTTTGTTTTTTTTTTGGGGGGGGGGGGTGAGGGGGATAGCTTTTTGTTAGGTTAGCTTCTTGATGTTACTATGGGACTACCCGTTCCCCCTAAATATTTATGTGCAAGCTCGCAGGTGTTTTGATGTGAGGAAATATTTATACGTGTTTAGAAAGTGCAGGCGGTCAACTTGTCGATGCATGCTCCGACTTTTATTAAAAAATATGAATATTAGAAGTTTTAGAAATGATCTTACTTCCCGGATTGTTGTATTTCCGGCCCGTCTGCGTTCTTCGGAGTTACAAGAAATGACGAGTGAAGAGTTATTGAAAGAGCACAGATGCTAGAGTTATGTAAGTTATGCATGAGGCTGAAGAGTAATGGCGGGCCGGAGAGCTCAAATAATAAAGTTCCTTTTAACATTGGTGTGTATGGTATCGGGGATTAATTTGACGCAATGCCTCGTACTGAGTGACACGCCCTTTTAAGGAATAACGCGTGTCGGAGGGTATAAAATGGGAAGCAGCTTCTGAATAGGGGCGAGCTTTTACTTTCCGGAGCGACTTCTCCATTTTGGTTCTTACTCCTTTTCATTTGCCGTAATGAGGTTCTAAAGTTTAAGCAGAGATTGGAGGGTGGGGAGGGGGCATACTTAGATTTAAGGTACTAGCGTGTGCCAGGCACCGGTCGGTGTCAAGCACTGGCTAAATGACGAGGAAAAACTGTGGCTGCTTGTTTATCATTAAGTAATTTACTTCCCATTTTTGTATCTCATGGTCTCATGGTCTTATATTTGGGTCAAGTTCTCACCTGTCGAGCAGGACCACGTCATTCTTGAGAAGATGGCACTGCGTTTTGGGCCAGAAGATGTGAAGAATGCTACGCTGCTGAAAGTCCTCATGGTCACGCTCTCCTGCCAGTGCATTGGCTAACTGACTCACAGACTAAAAATAGATTTCAGCAACAACAACAAAACTTTCAATTAAAAGAAGATCTAATAACTTTTATCTAAATATTCCCAAATTATAGACTTGCAGGCTGTATCTAAAGTTTGAATTCGGTTAATGTCTTTCTGTGGCTGTGCGTGTGTTTGTATGATTAGCCTGTGTACTTTATATATTCCTTGTCCATATATATATATATATATATATATAATTTTCATTTGCCCACTATGAGAAAATATCGGGTATTTTTCTTTCATTTCTATGTATGTGAGCATTAGAAACTCCCTGCCCTGCCTCATATCTGCCAGTTTACTGACATTAATGGCTATTTCTTTATCTTTTAGATAACTTACCTTCCTATTCAATTTCTCTGGACCCTGAGATAGAACTTAGTATGACGTCCTGCCCACACACTGAGGTCTTGACTGTCCAACTCATTTTCTCTGGGCCATTTCGTGTGCTCATGTAGTCCTTCACATCCCGAAACCAATACTAACATAATATATGGGTCTGATGCATGTGGGAACCCACATCTGAACTCTCGATCCCTCAAATTTCTAAATTTAGAAGCAATGTCTTTTACAAGAGTTTTTGCGGAGTCCAGCAACAACACCCAGTCTTTTTATAAATAATATTGCACTCCTTTTTTTCAGAGCTGTATCGTCTGCTCATGGATCCCCCCCTGCCCTCAAATCCATCACCCGGTGGCTCAACATTAATACGGGTCTGGTATTTATGGGGCCCCAAATATGAATTCCAAACCCATGAATCTCCTAATTTGTAAGGACCCGTTCACTCATTGCTTACGGGACCGAGTAGACCTGTACTGGTATCAATTTCAGTATTCAACAGGTTAAAAGAAATAGTACACAGCGGTGGTGGAACCAGGGGGGGGGGAGGGGGCAGGTGCCCCCCCTCCCCCTCACCCCCCCCCCCCCCTCCCTGGGGGAAAAACGTGTAAAAACACGTGATTTTTTAACCTTTTCGGGGGGATGGGCGCTCAAGGGGGGAGGGGGGTTCAAATTTTTTAATTTTCGAGGGCCAAAAAAGAAGGAAAAATGTGCTCACTACCCCCCCCCCCCCCCCCCCACACTGAGCGAATTTTGGGGAGCCAAAAAAGGTTGGGCCCCCTCCCCTAAGAAATCCTGGATCCGTGGCTGGTACACAGTCCTGCCTCACCACCCGGTACTTACAGTTGTACTAATTTTCTCCGAGCTGTTTTGTCGGCTCATGTAACCCTCCTGCCCTTCGCATCCCTCGACACACAGGAAGCAGTCTGTGGTGTGGCCGATACCAGAGGGTAGCACCTTATCCCGTAACATCGCGTTGATCACTGTACTCTTACCGTTACTCGTTCTGTAAAAGATTCCACGTAAGGAGAGTAAGAGAAAGGAAAAAAGAGGGGGAAAAAGGTGGGGGAGATCGTGTTCACGTCAACAAGGTGTGGATAGGGGGCCCTTGCCCCCCCCCCCCTCACAAAAAAGATATAGAGAAAGAAGGAAGGGAAGGGAAAGGTAAAGAAAAGGTGGTAGATAAGAAAAGATCAGTTGCGATTTTTGTACAAATGTATTTATATGTTTATTTATTTATTTATTTATTCCTGTTTGATAACAATAATATGAATATAAACTCAAAACAGCTTTAAAATAAAAGGCAGACAAATATTTTGCAGGCAGAAAGAAACGCAAAAAAGTCATGCATTTGCATGTCAGAGTATCATTAGAATTATTCACATTGTTTTATTACATCTTGTGAAATAGTATGGATTTTTGTGTGTGTATTTGTATGAAAGAAAATGTTTGTAACTTATAATGCACATGATGCGATTTCTGGTGCAATTGAAACGTATTGTGTGCAACGTCTTGCAGTTGCCCCCAAATACAATTTAAGCATGGTTTATTTCTAATTCGATACTACTAATTTACAAATTTTGCTGAAAATGACATAATTTTCGGGGTTTTTTTTTCCTCACTTTTGAATAAATAATACATTTTTTTGCGTTTGTTGGAAAATGACAAATTCCCAAATTTACAGTCAGGCAAGAAATATGCTTTTTTAGAGGCCTATATGTCAGGAGCCGCAAAACGACAGGGCTATTGGGGGGGGGGTGGATTCGACCTACCCCTTCCTTTTTTGGAAAAAGTATATTAAAGAGAAAAAGAAAGAAAGAGAGAGAGAAAAAAGAAAAGAATACTGACCTGCCAGTGTCAAAAAATAATGAGGCATTAAAATTTGCTCATCTGACCGTGATTAAATGCCTAGAACCCCTAAGCTTACGGGGGCTCTGCCCCCTGGATTCCACCTAAGGTCCTAGGGCGGGCCATTGAATGCTAATCTGACCGTAATTTAAATAAAACCCCTTGACTTCCGGGAGCGTTTGTTGGTAAATGACAAATTCCCAAATTTACAGTCAGACAAGAAATATGCTTATTTAGAGACCTACATGTCAGGGCCCGCAACACAGCCATAGACCCCACGCTAATTAGTGTCCCGCCAATGTCACAAATAAGGTAAACAAATATGCTCATCTGACTGTAATTAAATGCCTATACGCCCTGAGCTTCCGGGGGCTCCGCCCCTTGACCCCCACCGGGGCTTCGCCCCTAGACCCCACGCCAATTTAATATACTGTAACAAATCAGGGTTAAAGTATTGGACGAAGGTTAAGCATTTTCTGTTGTGCGCGCATACGCGCATGCGCTAAAGCTATATGGCGCATCGTTGATTTAGCAATTACCATGCAAGGAAAATGGGCATAAATTACATGTTTTAATCATACTGGTGCAATTATCATGTTTCTTTTGGGGATATTATTTGTGTTAATAGTTATCTGATCGTTAATAAGGGGTCGTACTGAAGATTATATTTGATGATTTAATGGGATTATCAGAAATGTTGTGTTGAAGTGTTGTTTTACTAACGAGGACATAATTGCCCTTTTATACGTTTAAGTACAGGGAAAGTCTTTATGCTGTGAGGATTGTGAAATTTGGAATTTCCGCTGCACTGTATCCGACGGGCAGTAGGTCTGACGGCGTCACAAGCTGGTCGAGCTGACGGAGCTTGGGGGACGACGGGCAGTAGGTCTGACGGCGTCACAAGCTGGTAGAGCTGACGGAGCTGGGGGGACAACGACGGGCGGTAGGTCTGACTGCGTCACAGCTGGTCGAGCTGACGGAGCTTGGGGACGACGTGCAGTAAGACTGACGGCGTCGCAGCTGGTCGAACTGACGGAGCTGGGGGACGACGGCAGTAGCACTGATGGTGTCACAAGCTGGTCGAGCTGACGGAGCTGGGGGAAGACGAAGGGCAGTAGGTCGGACGGCGTCACAGCTGGTCGAGCTGCCAAAGCTTGGGGGCGACGGGCAGTAAGACTGACGGCGTTACAGCTGGTCGAGCTGACGGAGCTTGGGGACGACGGGCAGTAAGACGACGGCGTCACAACTGGTCGAGCTGACGGAGCTTGGGGACAACGGGCAGTAAGACTGACGGCATCACAGCTGGTCGAGCTGACGGAGCTTGGGGACGACGGGCAGTAAGACTGACGGCGTTACAGCTGGTCGATCTGACGGAGCTTGGGGACGACGGGCAGTAAGACGACGGCATGACAGCTGGTCGAGCTGACGGAGCTTAGGGACAACGGGCAGTAAGACTGACGGCTTCACAGCTGGTCGAGCTGACGGAGCTTGGGAACGACGGGCAGTAAGACGACGGCGTCACAGCTGGTCAAGCTGACGGAGCTTGGGGACAACGGGCAGTAAAACTGACGGCGTCACAGCTGGTCGAGCTGACGGAGCTTGGGGACGACGGGAGGTAGCATTGACGGTGTTGCAGCTGGTTTAGCTGACGGAACTGCGGAACGACAATGGAATCGTGTCAGATCAGATCTGGTCGTAACTTATCACCAGCGGAATTAATACAGCAACTGGAATGTAATATAACAGCAGTCGAAGAGATGCTTGCTGAAATACAGCGATCGTCAGAAGCATCATCATCTTATCCTCGTCCAGAGCAGAGCACTCCATTTATTCCACATTCTGCTGACACATGGTTTGTTAGCATTCCGTCATCGGGCATTCAACCACCTGCAACCGGCAATGGAAAAAGGGCTACACTGCCAGAACCGTCATTTGGTCAGGGCAGTGTTGGAAGGAATGCGACAGTTCGGGCAAGGATGACGCACTCTGCTGATGGTGGTCCGTTTACTCCAGGCAATCGTCTTCAGATGGCAGAAGTGTCTCAAGGAATAAGGCATGCTAAGAAGGGGTTACCCGTAATGGGAGACTTTGACGAACCCTACCCTAAGGTACATATACCCAAACAGACAGGAGCTGGAAACTGACAGAGCTCACAAGGATTAAGTGATTAAACTTTTGAACAGTTGAACATTTAATAAAGAGCCATTTGAATTGTCAGAAAAGACTTAGTTATATGGATTTCAGTTTCGATTTGTTTTGATAAAATGTTATGATTTTGTTGTTGTTGCATAAGTTATAGATAAGTTAGCTTGGGGACCAAGCTTGGGAGAGAAGGGAGTCGTGTAACAAATCAGGGTTTTAGTATTGGTCGAAGGTTAAGCATTTTCAAAATTACCAAATGAAGGAAAATTAGCATAAATTACATATTTTAATCATGTTGGTGCAATTATCATGTTTCTTTTGGGGATATTATTTGTGTTAATAGTTATCTGATCGTTAATAAGGGGTCGTGAAGATTATATTTGATAATGTAATGGGGTTTGCAGAAATGTTGTGTTGAAGTGTTGTTTTACTAACGAGGACATAATTGCCCTTTTATACGTTTAAGTATAGGCAAAGTCTTTGTGCGGGGAGGATTGTATAATTAGGAATTTTCACTGCACTGTATCCGATACAGCGCCAGCTTAACCGAGGCTGTCGCTGGCCTTAGCCTTTAGTCGAGTCTTACACAATTTGCACTTGTGTTGAGTTTACCCTGAATATTGGTTGGTTCGCATTAAAGAATTTCGACATGCAACTCGTGATCGGTCTGATTTATTAGAGCAGTGAAACCGTAAACAAATGCAAGGGATGAGAATCAGTGACAAGTGTTGACAAGGTAAATTAATTGCTCGAAGGATGCTCAATTAATTGATGTTTTGCACAAGACGTTTTGGTGACCGATTGCAGTCGACAGATGCATGATTGTTGATACGCCCTGTGAATGTGAGCAGTGAACTCCAGCCCATGGCCCTGGGAAGCGGGGGTGCTGGGGGTGCTGCAGCACCCCCGGAATTTTTCCAGGGGGGGGGGGGGGCACAGCACCCCCTGCAAATTTTTTCGGTATAATATATTTACTGTATATATACAAATTATAACGTTTCTTTCACAAAATCATATAAAATTACCCCTCGAAGCGTTTTTTTAAATTTTTTTGTATATAAAATTTAAAAAAATAAAAAAATTGTGGTAACTGGTGACCAAAAAAGACAGACCTTACCCCACCCCAATACCAATCGACCAAATTTTCAAATTATGGAGATATATTGCGAGATTTTGGGGACCTCTTACCCTCCCCCCCCCCCCGCTTATTCAACGGCTGGCTGAGTCGTTGCGAGATTTTTGGGACCAAAACAATACAAAACAAATGTCCTCTTACCCCCCCCCCCCCCCCCTCCCCCCGCTTATTCAACGGCTGGCTGAGTCGTTGCGAGATTTTTGGGACCAAAACAAAACAAAAAAATGTCCTCTCACCTCCCCCCCCCCCCCTGCTTATTCAACGGCTGGCTGAGTCGTTGCGAGATTTTTGGGACCAAAAAAAAAAAAATGACCTCTTACCCCCCCCCCCCCCCCCCCCCCGCTTATTCAACGGCTGGCTGAGTCGTTGCGAGATTTTTGGGACCAAAAAAAAAAAAAAAAAGTCCTCTTACCCCCCCCCCCCCCCCCCCCCCCCCCCCCCCCGCTTATTCAACGGCTGGCTGAGTCGTTTCGCAATATATATATATATATATCTCATCGGCTCCGGTGAAAAAATCGTTCTCAGGACCCTGCTCCAGCCATCAACATACGGGCATATATGGAGAGCTCTTGGCCAGGCACGGGGCATCCTGACAAATATTCCGTGTCAGCCAAGGTGGCGAACCGTGTCCGTCACAATACGCTCTACCTGATCGTAAATACTTTTTCCTCCCCCTCCACTTTGAAAACGTTCAGCAGGGCCTGCATGTAAGAGTGGTGGTGATGCGGATTTTTTCTACCCCTCCCCCCCCCCCACACGATATTGCTCATTCCGCAAAGGTTTTAGTGGTCACCATTACGTACCAATATTTGGCTCGCAAAATTTCAAATTTGCGCGCCCCCCCCCCCCCCCCCCTTAGAAATCCTGGATCCGCACCTGCTTGTAAGCACTGTGGAGGTTGTGCCCCAAAACGATAAATGTACACACATCACCTGTACAGTTTTGGGGAAGTTCTTTCTCCAATACTTTGGGGTGATACGAAATAAAATGTCATTGTCATTATCAATAGCATTGTCATAGTCATCTTTATACTCATTGTTATTGTCGTCCAGATGGCATTAAAATTGGCAATCTCATCTTATCGCTGGCATTCAAACGTACATAACAACAAAACCATCGGTGGAATATTGTGTTCTGAAGTGTCGGATCACCTACCCATATTTTTAACTTGTGAATGCAAACTATCTGGCCGTAAATCATTTGATGAGCTTATATATCGCAAAGAATCCAAACGTAATATAGAATTGCTGAAACAGGATTTATTTTTCGAGGGATGGGCTGAGGTATATAGTGTAAATGATGTCAATACTGCATATTAACATTTTAGTAACAAATTTCAATATTATTATGAAAAGAATATTCCTTTAGGCAAAATGAGTAATAAGCGAAATAAACCCAGGAATCCTTGGATAACGAAAGGTTTATTGAAATCAATACAAACACGCAATCGCCTCTACAAATTACATTTACACAATCCAACTGACACTAACCTAAACACATATAAAATTTATCGAAACAAATTAACAAAACTTATCCGTACATCCCGTAGATTGCATTTTTCTAATAAAATAAAAGGCCAGTTCAAACACAACTGCAACTTGGAAAATTATCAAAGAGGTAATGGGAAAAAAACGAATCCCCCACCCACGGATAATATCACATTAAATGGCACTAAAATACATGATCCTAGTCTTCATGCAAATTCATTTAACTCATTTTTTACGAATATCGGCCCTGAACTCGCCAGCAAAATTAATAGAACTCACGCTCACTTTAAAGACTATCTTTCCAATCAAAACCAAGAGTCTCTCTTTTTAAATCCGACAAATCCTAGCGAAATTATTAACATTACCCAATCTCTTAACAACTCAAAATCGCACGGTTTTGATAAAATAAGTATGTCTCTCCTAAAAGAAATAATGTATCCACTTGCAAAGCCTTTAACTCACATATTTAATCACTCGTTATCGCAAGGTGTTTTCCCTGATCTATTAAAACTAGCTAAAGTCAACCCCATTCTCAAAAAAGATGATCCTCACGAAATTAGTAACTATCGTCCAATTTCTCTACTCCCAAGTATATCTAAAGTCTTAGAAAAGATCGTTCATAATAGGCTACACAAATTTATCACTAAACACAAAATACTCAATTCAAATCAATATTGCTTCAGAAAAAATTACTCAACTGACTTAACATTAGTTCAAATTTATGACAAAATTACAAGCAGGCGCGGATCCAGGATTTCTTAGGGGGGGGGCCCAAATTTGAAATTATGCGAGCCAAATATTGGTACGTTATGGTGACAAACAGTGACGTAATCCGGGGGGCAGTTTCCCCGTCCCAGGCTTTGACGTTTCATTATATTATTTGAGAAAGAAGACGATTCGTTGTACCGTTCTCGAAAATAATTCTCGTGTGAATTTAGTTTTTCCCCTCCCGCGCGAAGCGCGGAAAATTTTACGATTTATTAAATTATTAGAGAAAGAAGACGATTCGTTGTAGAGTTCTCGACTCTTAATCCTTGTCTAAATTCAGTCCCCCCCCCCCCCTTCCCCCCTCCTGCGCGAAGCGCGGAAGCTTTGACGTTTTATTAAACTATTAAAGAAAGAACACGATTCGTTGTAACGATCTCGACCCTTTATCTTCGTCAGATTTCAGTTCCCCCCCCCCCCTCTCGCGCGGAAGCTTCATTAAATCATTAGAGAAAGAAAACGATTCGTTGTACAGTTTTCGACTCTTAATCCTTGTCTAAATTCAGTCCCCCCTCCCCCTCCTGCGCGAAACGCGGAAGTTTGACGTTTTATTAAACTATTAAACTATTAAACTATTAAACTATTTACGTTTCTTTAAATCATTAGAGAAAGAAAACGATTCGTTGTACCGTTCTCTATACTCTTAATCCTTGTCTGAATATCAAATATGTTCTTTGTCTGCTCCTTTTTCTTCCTACGTCCTCTTCCGATTGGGGGGACCGCCCCCAACCCCCCCCCCCCCCCCCCCTGGCTACGCGCCCGCGGTCAGATAAACACATCTTGATACCTTGTCCGACCCCGCAAGTTTAGGGGTTTAAGGCAATAAATTACGGTCAAATAAGCATTCAGGGGCCCGCCTTAGGGCCCCTGGTGGGGTCGAGGCGGCGGAGCCGGCCCCGAAAGCACAGGGGTTTTAGGCGTTTAATTAAGGTCAGATGAGCATATTTTTGTGTATACCTTATTATTTTGTGACACTGGCATGTCACTATTTGGCGTGGGGTCCAGGGGGCGGAGCCCCCAAAAACAGGGGTTTTAGGTATTAAATTACCGTCAGATGATCATCTAAGGGTCCGCCGTAGGGCCCTAAATGGAATCCAGGGGGCAAAGCCCGCGGAAGCTCAGGGGTTTTAGGCATTTAATCACGGTCAGATGAGCATATTTTGATGCCTCATTATTTTGTTAACACTGGCAGTTAACTATTCTTACTTTCTTGCTCTCATTCTATTTCATTTCTCTTTAAAATACTTTTTCAAGAAAAGTAGGGGGGGCTCGAGGCTCTCGATCCCCGCCGTACCTCGGGCCCTGACATGTAGGAATCCCAAGAATCATATTTTTTGCCTGGTTGTAAATTTAGGAATTTGTCATTTTCCAACAAACACATACAAACGTATAATTTACTAAAAAGTGAGGAAAAATTTCGGAAATTATGTCATTTCAGCAGTATTTGTAATCCACCGTTGTGGAATTACAAGTAAACCAAGTTTGAATATGATTTTCCCCAAGCCCCCCCCCCCCTATCAGTACGCCAGTATCTCCTCTTTTCCCTTTTTCTTTCCCTTTCCTTCCTTCTCTCTTATTTTTTTTTGATTGGGGGGTGGGGTGGGGGTGGGGGTTAACATCCTGGGAGGCAAGGCCCTTTCGGCCCCCGATCTCCTTCTTCCCCCTTTTTTTCTTCTTCCTCTTCTTTCTTTCCCCTTTTCTCCTGTTTCCCTTTCTCCCTTCTTTTCCTTTCTTCTCTCTTTTTTTTTTTTTTTTTGCGGGGGGGGGGGCCAAGGCCCGCTCGGCCCCCCCTGGATCCGCGCCTGATTACAAGTGCCATAGCTAACAAAGAGCATGTTATAGGTATATTCTGTGACTTGAGTAAAGCATTTGATACGCTCAATCACGCTATTCTACTCTCCAAAATCAGTCATTACGGAATTCGGGGTCAGCCACTCTTATGGTTTAAAGATTATTTAACAAACAGAAGACAATATGTTACATTTAATAGTTATGATTCTGATCCTCTTTTAATTCAATGCGGTGTTCCTCAAGGCTCCATCTTAGGTCCACTGTTATTTCTTCTTTATGTAAATGATATTATCAATACATCCCCCCTTCTTTCTTTTATCTTATTTGCCGATGATACAAATATCTTCTATTCCCATAAAGACCTTAATTCGTTAAACAGTACTTTGAATTATGAAATTAACAAAGTATCAGATTGGTTTAAATCCAATAAACTTTCACTTAATACAAAAAAGACTCATTTCATGTATTTTAAACATCATTCTCATAATACAGAAACACCTATATATATTAAAATCGATGGTATGCTACTAGAGAAAAAACTAATTCCAAGTTTTGGGGTGTTCTTATAGATGAAACCTTGACTTGGAATGATCATTTACACCAAGTTACAATGTGCATTTCCAAAAGTATTGGAATAATCTCCAAGTTAAAGTTTCTTCTACCCCATGCAACCTTATTCCTACTATATAATTCGCTAGTTCTCCCGTATATAACATATTGTAATAGTGTATGGGCAAATTGTGGTTCGACAAAAATCAATTCTATTTTCAAACTGCAAAAGAAAGCCATACGTATTTGTACAGGTTCGCATTTCTTAGCTCACACTGATCCTTTATTCTATAAACTTAAAACACTAAAAAATTTCGATCTGAACACTACTCAAGTAGCAGTTATTATGTTTAAGTACATTAATAATCTGCTTCCACCATCCTTTGATAACATGTTTAGGTTTGATAATTCCGTTCATTCATACTCTACTCGAATATCTGGAAACTTCCATCTTACAAACCCCAAATTATCAATAACACACAAATCTGTTAGACATTCTGGCCCGGACATTTGGAATGATTTACCCGACAACATAAAGTCTTGTTCAACCATCTACTCCTTAAAAGCTACACTTAAACGACAAATAATACAATCATATGCTCCCCCTCTCTAAATTAGTATAACAAAACCGTGACTTATTTATTCTTTATCATGCAACTGCTCACTGCACCTGCACTTGCACCGCACCCTCTTGATCACTCAGTTTTTCGAAGAGAGTTATGTCGCCAATTCTTTTTACGAGGCCGCCATCCATCTCCAGCCAAACCGCTCACGATGGTGGTCTCCTGCGTTCCGAATTACCTCTCTAATTTATTGAAAATATTTCATATTTCTTATGTTATTGTATGCTTCGTACATGTTTATCGAATGATATAATTGAACATGATTTTTCATTTAATTACTTGTGTAAACATTGTATTCATTGTATTTGTTATTGTTCGAAATTTTGTACTTTGACTTTGAATTTGTATATTTTTTGAACGCAGAAATAAAATCAATCAATCAAATCAAATTATCACTGTCATTCTCAATCTCACCTGCCAAAGAACGCTACTTTCATGTGATCTCTCTCCAGAACATCTTGGATCCCTCGAACCTGGTTTTTGAATGCTTCTACCTTACTCAGCTGCTCATCGGATACTAACTGGGAAGCTGTAGAGACGCCAGAAAGAAAAAAAATAAACAAGGTGCAATCTTAATGTATGACACATTGTCCAATGACGATTTGCTCTGCAGTCATTTTTTTACATTATAGATGAACTGCCACCTTTAATCCTAGCCTAAAGCCCCCATCACACCGAACTAGTTCTCAATACGTTCTGGAAATTGCCAAACGGGCTCAAAATGTGTGCGAACGGAGTTGAACGTAGTAGCAACTGTTTACGAACTGTTTAAGAACTTCCTGGACGGGCTCGAACTGGCTATTAGAGACTTCGGTGGAAAGCGCTTTATAAGTAATGTTTTTATTATTATTTATTATACCGGAGAGTGCCCAAGAACTTTGAGCCTTTGTCCCCGTCCTGCAATTAGAATGACAACGTAAAAATGAGGAAGACGTACTACAAACGGAACGAATGCCGTACTATGAATGGAATTGCCGAGCATCAATTAGCAGCAGCTAAGCCCCAAACACACAAAACTAGTTCTCACTACGTTCAGGAACCGTCCTAGAAAATCGTAACAAACGGGTAATGGTCGGGGTAAAATGTGTAAATAATGTTTATAATACGATCTTAGATCGTTCATAAACAGTCCTTAATACGTCCATATCGTCTGTACTCCGTCAGCAGTCAGATCATATCAAGTTCAGATCGGGTAAATTTGCCATTTCCAAGCAGTCCAAGCCCGTCTGTAATCAGTATAAACTAGTTCTCAACTAGTTCTACCTCCTTCCCAATACGTCCAAAGCACTCTCACTAGTTCGTAACACGTTCCCAGTAGGACCGAAGTACGGCAATTCCGTTCGTAGTACGTCCATCTCGTTTTAAGTACGTTGTCAGTTCGTCTAATTTTGAGCACGTTTGGCAACATTTTACAGAACTATTTTGGTGTGATGGGGGCTTCCCTTGAATGTCTTCGTTTGCAAAGCTTGAATCGTTGAAGTTGAACGGGAATAAGGAATGGCAAGAACGCGCTGGGGTTTTATAACCCTTGACCCAGGACGTGATTCCACACGCTCTAGGAGTGCGTTCGTCCGCACTACGAACGAGATGGGGACGAGCTGAACTGTCTCTGAACTTGTTAGAATGGGTTCGGTCGTATTGGGAACGAGGTAGAACTAATTAATAACGGGTATAAACTGACTTCGGACTGGCTTGAACTGCCTGTAAATGGCAAATTTACCCGATCTGAACTTGATATGAACTGACTGTGGACGGTGAACAGACGAGATGGACGTATTGAGGACTGTTTATGAACGAACTCGGGTCGTATTATAGACATTATTTACGAATTTTACTCCGACCACAACCCATTTTAAGATATTCTAGGAAGGTTTCAAAACGTAGTGAGAACTAGTTTGGTGTGATGGGGGTTTAAAGCAGCTCTCAACATTAACTTTTTTGGAAGGGGGTCCAGATTAAACTTGATAGATGCATGAGCCCTATGTAAAAGTTTAAGAATTTTCGGGGTCCGGGCTCATTAAATTATGGGTGCCCGTGTGTCCCAGGCGCCTGTTAGTGTCAAGCACTAAATGGTAATCCAACCTTTCTATCAAATAGGCGAAACAGAATGTAAAAAGAATAATAAGGGAGATAAAAAAAAATTGAAACATGAAATCACTAAATCTACACGTACATGCAAATCCTAAATGGCCAATTGTGACACAGCCATGGACAGCAGACTCTCCTTTTTGCCCATGTATCATTATTATTATTATTATTTTTTTTTAATCCTAAGTGCCTTCTTCCTTAGGGCACTACTCAAATATATTATCGATAGCGAATTGATATAGATCCTCTAAAAAAAGAGACCCTCATGAACCATACATTTCGAGAAATAACATTTTAGTCATTTTTTGTGTTCAAACAAACTTGAAAGTTATCTGATATACTACGTCACAGTGGCATTACCGATTCAGCCAATTCTTAACTATCTTATTTTTTGTCTGATTTCATTCAAATTTGTATCAGTGTGCTTCTTTGATTAGTTTGCTTAAAGATAAAGACCAGTTATGGTCATGCGATTGCATTGTGAAAGAAACGTTGTGGAATCAATCAGAAAAGGTTGATCATCTAGCATATAAGTATTAATTGGTGTGTACTGCAAGGTTCTGGAATCATCAAAATGATAAGAAATTTGGCCCAGTCTTTGTAAAGTTACAAACATTGTACACAGAAAGGTGTATATGGGACTGCGCGACACGTGCGCAATATCTATCAGGTCCAATTAGATATAATAATTTACCAAATATATCAATTAGTAGGCAGTTTCACGTATTAGTCAAAACATTTCTTTCACATGATTGGTAATAAGAGCTTCCATTTCATTTTTTAAGAGGGGGACGTTTCCAAAACTGGTCTTTACCTTTAAGGTTTTTGTCTATTAAAGGTACTATGTCCCTTTTGCAGCCAACCTCAAATGCTGTAGAACTTTGCAGGAATTATGAATATGTCATGTATGTTCTATCTGTGAAATTTAAACGTTAGCAGTGTCCTCATATTCAAATTATGCAAGGAAACCCGTTTACTTGCTAGACTTCACTGTCAGACACTATTGAGTGACCGACTGGCTTTTTTTCTTCTTTGGTAATAACATACATGAAAAGAGTTGTAAAGGGTACACGAGCATTTGTCTACATCAATAACCCACTTCTTGTGATGGCCAAGATTAAACTGATTGAATCTTTGCGCAGCATAAAACGTATGACCATTCGGTACAATTGTCCGAAAATCAAGACTATTACTTTTGGGCTCTATAGCCCTAAAGTCGATTTGACAATTAATAGTCGTTATTTTCCCACTTGAAGACATTTTCAAGCCCCAACTTTTTTAGGGAAGTTCTAAATTAGTATTATCTTTCAAATGCAGTTGGAATTTAACTTTTTCATTTTTTGGCCTGCAAATGGGACATAGTCCCTTTAAGGTTGGATTTTTCCCTTTTAAGCCAAAATATTATTATTATTATTATTATTATTATTTATATACTGCGCTTTTCCCAGAGTGGCCCAAAGCGCTTACAACAAGAAGAATCATACACAAAATAAAAATGAAAACTTACATAATCCTAAAAATCTGGATTACAAAAAAGAAATGTTTTAAGTCCCTTTTTGAATGAAGAGACAGATGGTGATTGTCTGAGTGTTAAAGGTAGCCTATTCCAATATTTAGATGCAGTTATAGTAAAAGTCCTATCTCCAGCTAGTTTCCGTGTGATGTTATATGTAAGACGGAGTGGGTCACTGGAGGCTCGTAGATTCCTGCTAGGGGTGTATAGGGTCAAACAATCACGTAGGTATTGAGGTGCCTGTTTATTAAGGGATTTATAAACTAAAAATAATAATTTAAAAACGATACGATGTCTTACAGGAAGCCAGTGCAACGAGTGAAGGAGTGGTTTAGGGGAGTGAGATCTCGTAACCTGATAAATTACCCGGGCTGCCCAATTTTGAAGTCGTTGGATACGATCTAATTGAGTAACAGGGATAGTGGAAAGAAGGCCATTGCAGTAATCTAAACGAGACAGAACTAGAGAACGAATTGCGTTGTTACAGGCGGATTGATTAACCCTACCCTAATCCAACCTTGTATCCTTACGAGATACAGCCCTGATGAAATGTTACTTGAGCATATCGAGTCAATTCTTACACTCATCATACTGCCAACTAAAACCCAATACTTAAAGATTATGTCCTACGACCATTCGGTACAATGATATGAAAACCAGACTATTACTTACTGGCTCTATAGCTCTAAAGTCGATTCGACGACTAAAAGTATTTATTTTCCCATGCACTTAAAGACATTTTCAAGCCCCCTTATTTTAGGGAAGTTCTAAATTAGTATTATCTTTCAAATGCCGTGGAATTTAACCTTTTCCAAATGGGACATAGAACCTTTAACTAAAAACCTCATCACAACCCTAATCCTGACCCTCCATGAATAGAGCCCAAAACAGGTGCCACCAGAGCATATTTCAGAACACCACGGTGTCTTTTTTCAGCAGTTTGATATCCCAATGGCTAAAATGAAGCAAGCGCGTAGCCAGGATTTAATTTTAGGGGGGGCGGTAGTGAGCACGCAAAGCGTGCGAATCACTTACAGAGCGCGCGTAGCGCGCTCCCTAGGGGGGAGGGTGCAGGGAGGGGGGAGTTTCCCCCCTCCCGCGCGAAGCGCGAAAGCTTTGAGGTTTCATCAAATTATAAGAGAAATAAGACGATTCGTTGGACCGTTCTCGACTCTTAATCCTTATCTAAATTCAGTTTCTGTTGACGTTTCATTAGAGAAAGAAGACGATTCGCGGTACCGTCCTCGACTCTTAATCTTTGTTTGAATCAAGTTCCCCTGCCTCCGCGCGTAGCGCGGAAGCTCTGAAGTTTTATTAGATTATTAAAGAAAGAAGACGATTCGTTGTACCATTCTCGACTCTTAATCCTTATCTAAATTCAGTTTCTTTTGACGTTTCATTAGAGAAAGAAGACGATTCGTTGTACCGTCCTCGACTCTTAATCCTTATCTGAATTCAGTTCCACCTCCCCTCCCGCGCGAAGCGCGGAAGCTTCGACGTTTTATTAAATTATTAGAGAAAGAAGACGATTCGTTGTACCGTTCTCGACTCTTAATCCTTTTTCTTCCTACGTCCTCTTCCTTTCCTCTTTTTTTCTCTCTCTTTTTTTTTTTTGGCCGGCGTTTTGGGGGGGCGACCGCCCCCACCGCCCCCCCCTGGCTACGCGCCTGAAATGAAGAGATCATAACAGTTTAGGTAGGGGCTGGGCACACACTTAAAGAGTTGAGTTCTTAGCTTAAAGCGCATTGTATATAGTGAAAGTGATTTCCCTTTAATATTTATTCATGTTGTACTGGAAAGGCTAATTCATGCATGTATCACAAACTCTAAATTACTTGAGAGTGGCATTTAATCATCCTCTTTCCGAAAATGAAAACAGAAAAACAGAAACTATAATTGAACATAAGGGCTATTTGTTTTGTCTTTTAATATTCACAAACAAAATGGCGAAAGCGAGTGAAGTCTCACCACAAAGGAACGCATGGCTGTCGGTGATGTGATCCGAAACCTCCTTGTAGATTTCCTTCATATTCCTCTTGGCATCAACAAAGTGTCTGAGTGGGGTGCTGCTTCGACTGTCTTCTGGTCTAGCCATTGCACTGGGCCTGCTCCCATATACATTCTCCATGACAGACAAGGCCTGTAGGCTGTAAGGTGTAACATGTACAGTGCATACAATTTGAATCAACCAAGTTTAGAAGAAACGACTAAAAAATATGTTATACTCACTGTTTGCTTAGATCCTGCTGTTAAACAAGATTCACAATCATGAGACATATTACAGTTATCGGAAACAGTTTGTCTGATTATAATACAGTCACCTGCGGGGTTCCGCAAAGAAGTATATTGGGCCATTATTGCTTATCATTTTCATTGATGATATCTCAAATGTTATACAGTTCAGCATACCATTTCAACATTATGCTGAATATACGTGCATTTACTATTCTTCAGATAATACAAATGACTTATGTTCACGTCTCGATGAAGATTTATCACGGATTTCTAGGTGGTTGACATGCAATGTAATGTTATTTGTTGAATCCTAAGAAATGTGAATTTATTGTATTTCGACCCAGACATATATTTTTATCATTTGTTAATAAAAAAAAGTTCAAATTGTTGGTGAGCAAATCAATCGAATTTGAAGAATGCAAGTATCTTGGGTACAAATTATGAGTCTCGACAATTTGATAGGTATAATTTGATTCTGTTTTTCAAATATTTGTTTGTAGATAATTAAATGTGTTTTATATTATTTGTCATGGTTATTGTGTAAATGTTACTTATTTTTGTTAACAATGTGCACGGACTCGCTGAAAAGCAGTCGGTGTTGACTGATTGTGAGTTTTTACCGTGAATAAATAAAATTGTTTTAGGGAATTTATTATGCGTGTAGTGTCCAGGGGTGTCGATTTGTATCCGTGGTTAGGGGGATGATAGGTGCCAAAATATTTTCGGCAATGGATCATAGCAACCAAGAGATAGAAGCGTGTGGCAGGTTGCACCCCTTTCCCTTCCAAGTTATTAACTTTTTCAAGTCACCCTCAATAAAAATAACATTCCAGAGAATATAAGAGTGGTAATAAAATTGATAACATGCTAAATGTTAGTCCTGACTCTTGCCTGCAGTGTAAGGCGACCATACTGATATCATCTATTTTTAAACGAAATTTAGACATTACCAAAACAAAATCCAATGGTGAGGGATATCAACTTGTTTTTTATTTATTCATTTATTTATTCGTCTTTTTTTTAGTAGGGTGGCTCCATCAGTAGTTCAATACTGTTTTCCGTGGAGGCCCTACAACATAAATACAAAATTAACAAACATATTGAAAACAAATAATCCAAATCGAAACAAAATGAATTAAGTTACAACATTTTCGAACAAAAGAAAAGAAACAAACACAACACAATGGACCAGTTCAATGATTTAAATTATTATAGCGCCAAAACAAAAGAGTAAATGAAGAATTTGATGGCGCATTTTTTTAAAAATTAGGTAAAGTATTCCAGAAAGCCGCACCCTCAAATGAAAAACTTTGTTTCCCCATCTGGGTTTTTATTTTGGGTAAAATTAATCCTGCGTTTTGTGTACTGCGTGTTCTAATATTATGTACAGATTGGGTTTTTTGAAACATTTGTAAAATATAGACGGGAGTTTGATTTTCAAAAACCGAATAAATCATTTTACATTTGAAATAATTCCACCTACTTTGATTGCTTACCCACTTGAGTTTATTTAAATTTTATTGAGTTGGGGTTCTTACATTGGCCCCCAAGATTACTCTGGCCATTTTCTTGTGTTGTTTAATGATTACATCTCGGACATTTTGTGAACAATTAGACCATGTATTACAACAATATTCAAATAAAGGCAAAATTAATGCATTGGCAAGAAGCTTCAGTCCCTCCAAAGGTAAGTATCTTTTTGAACGACCAAGTAATGCTATCCTTGACCCTATCTTTTTACTTGTTTTTGTCACGTGTTCTTTCCAGCTCAATGTTGGATTTAGCCAGACTCCTAAGTATTTATAAATATAAACCTGAGAGATTTGGTGTTGCTCGAGTTGAATGCATATAGATTTTTCAAGTTTAGCCAATTTCATTTGTGAACCAAATAACATAAATTCTGTTTTTTTGTGGTTTAATGCCAGATTGTTTTCTTTTACCCACTCATAAACTAGTTTCAAATCAAGGTTCAAGGCCGATTCAATGTCCTCACTTTTTTTACTACTAAAAAACAGTACAGCATCATCTGCATATAACATTACTTGGCATTTTGATACTACCATAAGCTATGGTCACAAATCAGAGCAGCGACCGACCGATCAGTAGCCTGCTCGGTCGCTGCTGGAATTAGGCATCGCCCAGCGATTAGGTCGGTGCCCGGGCGGCGACCGCCCAGGCACCGAGCGTATTTTGGGCAGCGAGTGAAAAGTGAGCAGGCGCCGCCCAAATTTTAACTCCGCGCTAAAACTTCAGCGGCGACCGAGCGATGCCCTAAAAACGAGCGGTGCCTGGGCGGCCGCCGCTCGGTGGCCGGGCAGCCGCCGGACAGCATTGGTTCAAAACTCGCCGCTCGGCCGCCGAGCAGGCTACTTTTGGGTAATGTGACCATAGCATTAGGAAGATCATTCACCATGATAGTAAACAACAGCGGGCCTAAATTGGCGCCTTGTGGTACGCCTGACAAAGTCGTACCCCAATCTGATTTAAGTTTTCCAAGTACAACTTTTTGTTTCCGATCACTCAAGTATTCCATGAACCAATTAACTTCTTGACCCAGTATACCGTACTTACAAAGCTTTTCTAACAGTATTTTACGATCTACAGAGTCGAAAGCCTTGCGCAGGTCTATAGACCGCGCCTTATCCATTTGTCTATAAATAAAATCAGAAAAATAGGTTAAAACAGTATGGGTACTATGACCTTTACGAAAACCTGATTGATTCGGAGAGAGAACATTATTTTCTGTTAGATATTCTTGCAATTGAGTATGTACTGCCCGTTCCATGATCTTCATAACGACAGGTATTATCGAAATGGGCCTATAATTATTCAAGTCTGATCTCTCCCCACCCTTAAACAAAGGAATAACCTTAGCTTCTTTCCATTCAGTTGGTAGCTTGCCCGATCGCAATGACAAGTTGAAGAGTGTAGTAAGCTGTTTGTAAATGACCGGGGTAGCTATTTTTAGCAGTAGACAACTTATTTTATCAAGGCCAGGTGATTTATTGGTTTGCAATCTCTTCAACTCATTGAGGACAAAATCATCACTTATTTCATTAAACATAAATCTGGTAGGAAGTGATTGAAAATATCTACCAGCATCACCATGACTACTCTGGGAGTCATTTTGTCTTACACCAATAGAGAAAAAATATTTGTTTAACTCGTTCACAATAACTGATTTATCAGTTTCAACAACTCCACTGATCTTTAAACCCTGTATATCATTTACAGACTTATCATTTGCATTAAATGATTTTAGGAGTTTCCGAAGTTTCCGGGGGTTTGTTCTATTTTCTCGAACACCTGTTTCATAATACTTCTTTTTCAAGGTTGTTCGCAAATTATTAAGGTGATTTCGAACCCCTCTATAATATTTCCAATCCAATAACCGTCTACTTTTGTCAGCTTTTCGTTTTAGCCTATCCCGTAATCTAGTGAGAGATACATATTCATTTGTAGCCCACTTTGTCTTATAGCCCCGAACTCTATGTGTTACAAGTGGAGCGTGTTTATCACAAACTTCACTGAATTTCCATTTCCACATAGACCATGCATCTGAAATGTCGGCATTTCCTATAGAACAAATTGACCAATCGATGTCATGTAAGTCCCGCAAAAACACATTCTCATCAAAATGTTTGAATGATCTATATGTTACCATCCTGGGTTGTACAATGGGTCTATACAGTTTACGAACAATGTATACAAGATTGTGATCACTCAGTCCGAGAGAGAGGACATCACTTTGTTTGACATTCTGAGGAAAATTTATTAAAACTATATCAATCAACGTACTCGAAGTTTCAGTAATTCTTGTCGAAGATTTTATCATTTGCTTCATACCGTTTTGCCGACAGATACCATTTATGAACTTTGATTCACTTGTAGAGTTCATATTAAAATTAAAGTCTCCAAGTACGATAACTTCATGATTCAATTCACAAACTTTTGTTATTGATTCTTCAATTTTACTTTGATATTGAACATTTGAGCTGGGTGGTCAGTAAAAAGTTCCAACCATGATGGATTTAGTGTTGTGTAGTTTAATTTCAATCCAAAGAGATTCCAATTCATTTTCTTCCAAATCATTTCTACGGTTATACATTATGTTATCCAAAATAAATACACCTACTCCTCCTCCTCTTCTATTTGCGTCTTTTCGTTCGTATTTATAACCATCTATACAGATCTCAGAATCGAGTACAGTGTCATCTAAATGAGTCTCAGATATTGTAAATAAATCAACAGTTCCATGTTTGAGAAAATCTCTAAGAGAGTCTATTTTAGCTAACAAACTACATATATTGAGGTGTGCTTTATTGAGTCCCCCTTTTTTTTTAGAAAATTAATGAAGCACATGTTCACTACCCGAACTAATATCATCAGTTAATTCAAAAGTTTCTTCCTTAGTTTTGTTCCCCCGGCGTGTCTTTTTCACCTTTGCTTTTCCCAAGTTCATTATTGTCTTCCAAGTTTCAGTAGGCAGGTGTTGATATCACAAAACATGTTGGGGTGGGTTCAGTTCATGAAGAGCAGTGGGGGTGTAATGAATGCGACTGATCGAAGGGTGCTCAACTGAATCCCTAACGCGGTCGTCATGGTGATAAGTGACGGACGAACTTTGAGGTCCCGGATTAGGGTGTATGTCTCCTGCTCTAAGAAGCAGCTGAAATGTTGCTTCCGAGTTTGGATAATAAGAAATTCTCCTTGATCCATATTTACAAGTACGTCGATCTGACAACTTCCAACTATAATTTAACTGGCATGTTGGTGTTTGTAGCTTGAATGCCTGAGTTGATCCCAATAAAAAAAAGTAAAACCAGAACAAGAGGAATTCTCAAGGTGGATCCCATAATAGAAGCCATAGCCTATCTTCCAAGACAATAGGCTGGTTAACAGCAGTACAAAA